GGATTATGAAAAAACTTGCAGATGTCACTGGCGCCCGACCTAACTCGACTCGTTCTACTTAGCATTTTCTAGCGCAATATTAGGCACGTAAGCCGGAGTAGAATTCATCATTGCGCAATTCAGCGGTGCGCAAGTATTGAGAGAAATGTGGAAAAGCGCGAGCCTCGAATAATCGAGCTATTCTAACAGGTCCTCGCCGCGTCGCCGGACAATCCAAGCACTCTAGCGAAGCATCTAATAAAAGCCGTCAGTTTCGCACTACCTGCCGTATTATTAGCCAGGCAGACGATATCGTTTTGGACAGTCAGGCGATACGTCGTTTGTCGTTTCCTTTTCTTTTGCTCGCGCTGCGACCTTTTACGCGGGCGCGTTCGCTTTTACGAGCAGCAGCCAATCGAAGCGCGCGCGGCCCTCGCCGTATTTTTATCGCCTCATGCGCGCGCGTTCTAAAGCTCAACGCGCCAGAGCAATCCGGTATCTAATTAGACGAGCGCGCGACTTTTAGCTCGCCGCGCCGCTCATCAGCTGAAACGCACTCTTCTCTGTCCGAGGTCTAGCGCTGATTGTAATCGCGTTCGCTCCAAGATTTATCGGCGGATGCTGCCGTTTGTGGCCTATTGAGAGAGGCACAGACCTTTGTTTCGCGTTAACAGGGGACGCGCTCGCCATCATTTTGCTTTTTAGGGGAGGGCACAGGGAAGACCAGTGCATACTCGAAAATTCCTTTTTCTCCTCGTTCTGCGTTCTGCTTGGCTTTCCGGGTTACTTGTTATTTGGCTTTGACAGAATCTGAGAGATGGCCGTTTTTTGTGCTGCATGTTGAATTTGTTTTTGTTATGCGTTCGTTAGTTGAATAGAGATAACGTTACCTATCGATATATCCGATATATATATATATATATATATATATATAATTTTAAGCTTACAAGTTTCATTTTTTTATGCCAGCTTAGCTATTGAATTTCTGGTTGCCTAGTTGAATGATGATTATCGATTTATTTATTTTTCATGAACAATGTCCAAAAAATAGGTGACGTAAATATCTCCTACGCAGGCTTCACAATAATCAGTGACATATTTGTTAAATATGAATTGTAATACTTAAAAATGTCAGTATATAAGCTCAATCAAATAATAACATCAACTGAGTTATGATTTACAAGAGCTTTTATTATATAATCCAAACGACTGTGAGATTATCGAATGTCAAATTAGAACAATTTTCAAGAACGTCAAATATCGAACTAATTGATATCCATAGGTAATTAATATGGACTGAATGCTCAGTCAGCGAGCGACATTGTCGGAGTATATTCAACTTAATCAAGAGCTTTCAACACTTGCTGCTGGTAATGAAATTCGTAGACCAGATTGAACTAACATTGTTAACGTTTCAAGAAACTAATTGTCACCAAGCTTTCTCGAAGTTTGCTGAGCAAACAACGCGCGTCGATCGAGCCCTTCTCCTCTCCTCCATCGCCGCGCCAGTCAAGCGACAACTTGTTTTAGTCGGGCATTTTTTTTTTGGATTCACCGTTTTGGCTGCTGCTACATCGACCCGATCTAAAAAATTATCAACGCTCAGTTGTTATTTTTCCCGTATTTTTTAACGCGCGTTCATCTCACACGTTACAATATACTCGAGCAAGGTAGGAACAGGCGGCTAATCTATTACAAATATCTATCGTTTATCTCGGCCATGAGCGTGCTTATTATTCTCCTCTGTTTATCTATTTTAAGCACGCGCGGCTCCATCGAACTTGCCGACCGAACTTTTTTTCTTTTTGCGCTTGACTAAAGAGGAGGCGCGGAGTGGAAACCGCGCGCGGAAACCTGGGGACGGCTAAGTGAAAAACAAATGCGGCGAGACGAGAACTTTTTCATCCCGAACCCAAGAAAAACTTGAATATTCTTATATCCGCGTTACGGACTTCACGCGCGCATGACTTCACCTTTGGTAAATAAGGAAAAGAAACTGACTGACTTATGATTTCTCATTTTGAAGAAAGCCCTAGATGCTTCTCCGGCATGCTTGTTTGCACCTCTAATAATTTTGTTTCACCGCGAATGTATAGTGACTTTGCGAGCTACTTACAGTATAAAGTGGATGTGAAAAAAACTTTTTAAAAAATTTGCTTTCACTACCTTGTACATAAGTTGTATACTACGTTTATTAAAGAGAGAGAGAGAGAGAATGAGAGAGAGTAGAGTTTTCCTATGGGAAGTGAACTGGGGAACTGAATGTAGAAGTGAAAATTAGTGTGAAGAAAATATGTTTTCGAAGAGAGACAAACAAAAATAAAATTCTATATATCGAGACACTGCTGTAAATAAAAATACCATATTTTTATTGAATTTGCATACAATTTTATCGACGTAAAATGAATTTGTGCATTCGAAAATCAGAATTAAAATACAAATTGAATATTTGGCAACTGACGTATACTGATTGAGAAGGAATAAGTATTGTCTGTCAAAATTTTTATCTCAACCCATCAAAACTGTCGTACCGGATTTCTACACAAAAAATTTTATTTTTCATTGATAAAAACAAAAAATAAAAAAAAAAAAAAACTAGAATTTCAAGTGTAGCCTGTCATTCCGGATTTTTTGACGAGAAGTTGCCCGTTGGCAAACAATGAAAAGACATTCGAAGGAGAAAAAAATAAAATTCGTGCGTTCATCTCGCGAGCGACAAAAGAAAGAAATATACGATTGGCAGTGCTAAAAGAAAATGTTGACTGCGCGGTAAATGTAAAATGCGTATATCGCCATGGTAATTCACTTTGGGAGTGTGGCTGCTGGAAACGTAGATGTATACCGGGAGAAGTTTGAATACAGAGTGCGTGGGCTGTGCGCGGCTTTATATATTCTTTCGAGGCACTGCGTGGGAAATAGCGATGGTGAACCCGACGAGAAATGGTAAGTACGAGACGTGAAAAAGCGAGATTTTGAATAAATTTCATCGAGGAAACAAGGGAGTAGACCAACATTACCAAAATAAGACCCCTTTCTCTCCGCGGGCGTCTTTATCGCTCGAGACTCGGCAATTTCCCTTGTCTTTCATTCCTTCTCTTTTCTTCGCTATCCGTTTCTGGCGTTCCAACTTTGTTTCTTTCTCCTGGATTATTCCGCCATTTGATCAACAACACTTCTTTTTCTTCTATTCTTAAGGTTTATGCTTTTTTTTTAATCTTGTCGATATATTTTTGTAACTTCGTATATTTTGTACTATCAGATATCACAATGGTAATTATTCAATAACTTCGGTGTTGCACTAGATATTAACATATAATGTTTCGTTCATTTCAATCTTTAATAGAAAATAAATTTCTCTGATCATATTTAATTTTATTACTCGGAAAGGATCAATTTTTTTTTCTCAATTCAAAATTCTGTTCCGTTCAATTTGATTTTAGAAAGATTTTTTTTAAAGAAAAAAATGTTTTGAAAAAAATTGTAAAAGAACTTTATAATACTTCCAAAAGATTTTCATTGAAACCTCGATATATCCTCTTGAAACTAGATCTTATAAAATTTATTATGAACAAATAAGTTACGTGTTGAAAAAAAAAAGCAAGTTCTTATATATACCTCATGAAAAAAATATCTGCTCCATGTAAGAAGGCTATTTTCAATCTATTCATAGGTAAAATTTTTCAATTCCAAGATTTCTTCTGCCGAGCGCAGTAGTGCATTGGAAAAAGGGCGAAGTTCAAATTGAAAAGAAGATACGAGATAAATGGACAGAATAGGCATTTCCGACGGCATCGTTATCGTTCAATTGCAATGTGCTTGCGATAAAGTCCTTTTCTTTTTTTTTCGAGAACGAGCGAGTAGTTAGCTTTTGAAACTTTGGTAATTTTAATTAATTGAAGGGGAGAAGTTTCGACTGTATTTGGTAGTGAGAGAGAGAGAGAGAGAGAGAGAGAGAGAGAGAGAGAGAGAGAGAGATAGGAAACGTTTTATAGAGCCTCACAATTCCCCTCACCCTTGTGAAAAGTTATTGAGTTAGAAAAACTTTTTATTCCGTCATAAACAAACAGCCTCTGTGAAAGTGTATACGCTTTCATACTAGCACTTCGCCAAGATATTGCTACTTTGGTTGTTCGATATTCCCCCTCCCCCCTCGTCGTCAAATAGTGATACTCGCTAAAGCAATGCTAATCAAATCTCTCGCTTCTTTCTTTCTTCTCGTTAATTTAACCTTTTGCTAGAGTAAGCCAATCTTTTAAAGACCTTATCTTTTACCTCGGAATCCATATGAACCCACATACGTCATGGTGTTAGTTGAACCATCATTGAGGCCCCGCGAGCAACATGTATACGAACACATCGAAGTCTTTTTTATGTTTACGAATAGTAATCCAGGTACTAGCAAAAACCGCGTTAGCTGACTTGCGAACTTGCTTAAAAGGATTGCGCGTTGACTCGCGCTTGCGTATAATTGAAGTGCTGGAAAATCAAGATTCGTCCGAGGTCCCTGAGCGATGGTAAAAAAAGAGTAGGGATGTATCAAATGAATAGAGAGCGAGAGAGAGAGAGAGAGAGAGAAAGCATGAGAAAGGGATGACTTTGATGGCGTTGCCTTAATTATCAGGGATCGGCAGCCTCATTAGCGACAGATCTCTCGGCGAGCGTCAATTTTGCGCTCAGTCATCCGATCGCGACATTTCTAACGTGCGCGGATGATTCGCTCGCCAATTGCGCGTGATCACGATCGCGGACGCGCGTAAATCTTGGTGTCGCCGAGAATGAGAATTCCAGTAGTGGGTACAGCAGTCCGTATGAAAAATCATCATCGAGCAAGGAAGAAGGCTAAGAGTTCGCGATAAGGTTTGAGCGGTAGCCGCTGAATCCCATTACGAAGATAAGCCGTCGCGCGCTCGAAGTGACGGCGATAAATTAGCCCCGCACCTACGGAACTCGATTAGCCGACTCGAGGCTTAACGCACTTAACCGTCGCAAGGACTAGCGTGAAAGAAAGCAAATGGTCATACTCGTCAGCCATCGCCAATGAAACGGGTCCGAGGTCGTGGCGTCCGTTCCAAGCGGTCCAAGCGGTTGTTCCGTTGCCTAGGAGACACACGCACAGGGCGACGCGTGCAAAGATCACGCACAACGGTGGCGAGCTTTCCGCTGGCAAACGCGTACGTCCAGCGGGCAACGAGCGGCGCGAGAGGGAGAGGAGTGCACGCGTGTTGCGAGCAGTAGGAGAGCGGCCGCGCGACTGAGTAACTCGCGCGCGCTCGCGGCGCCGGTACGATCTCCTCCCTCTCTGATTCGCGCCGGCTCGTGCGCTCGCGCGAGCTTCTTTTCCGCTCTCCTTGCCGCGCTATTCTTCTTTTCGCGCGACACCCCCCCACCCCCGGCGGCATGTACAGAGCTTGCGAGCGCTTATCGCCACGAGGCCGACACTTGTCATCGCACGCGCGTGTTCCGTTCGCTTTGTAGGTGGGCCTTTGTAGCGCGGGCAACGGCAACGCGACCCGCTCCGTCGGACAATCCGCACCCGAAATATGCTCGTGTGCTTGCGCGCCGGCTGCGAGCACCTTTGCGGATTGCAAACACTGCGCACCTGTTCTCTGTTGCTGACGAGCTTTCATTTAGCCTGCGAGCTCCTTTTTGAGCTGTCGACTTGTGCCGATTACAATATATTATTCACCATGGAACATGTGCGATTCCGGCAAAACTCAAACATGCGAGGATTCATTGACAATTTTAGATTTGTACGCAAATATATAAATAAATATATTGCTGTTTTTTATATGAACTGTAGAAAATTGGAAGCAATTGTAGTCAAATATTTCGTCATTACTTTGTCAACGTAAATCCGTTCTGTTCCTATGAGAAACCAATTAATCGTATCGAATGTGTTAAGAGGATTTTCAAAGAAAAAACCCATATATCTCAATCAAATAAAACGAACAAACTGGTTAGCAGATTACGATGTACAGCTATCATATGAAGATAAAAAAATTAGCAATTTTCGCGTCGAAAAATGAATATCGAGCAACGTTCTCTCATTCAGATACAATCTAATCCATCTATCGTACAATGCAGTAAACTCCAAAAGTTTCAGCTTTTATACTGTAATACTGCAACGAACAGCTCCAACTCTGGCAGCGCTTATTCAATAGCAATAACAATAATTTTTCAGAAAAGTCAAAGCTGCAGGTTTGAAAAGTGAAAATCTATTATCAACGTAACGAGCATTGCAAGAACAAATAAATGAGTAGTTTTACCTCTCTACCATTTGTAGAACGTATTGAAACTATAACGACTTCGGGGAATGAAGCTTGGTGAAAAAAATTAACACGCGATTAAGCCACATATAAATTAGAAATTTACTTGTCACTCGAGTCAATTTACTCCCGGTAATTATTAACTAAATACAAAGTACAACAAAGTTACTCAAAGGCGCGTTTAGCTTGGCGCGTTTACCGAGCTTTCTCGTTGGTTTAGCCCGCTTGCATTACCATTCTCTATTCAAACGTGTGTCGACCATATACATTCGAACATTTGGTTCAACGGTGTTGACATTAAATTGAAGATTTGTCGTAGAATGAGATTTATGGAATGGATTTCGAGTATTGATTTTCGATCGACCCGGTTATTTTGCCGTTCCCATCAATTCGTTTGGGATTCGGCGCTCGGAAACGTCGAGTTGGATGCCTTTAATTCAAAGCAAGTGTGGGATTCTTTTCTTTCTTATTCTTCGAGGTGAAAGTATCAGTACACAGACATTGTTATTGCAGCGTTAATCACAATAATCTCGCATTGCTGGTAGAATTTCGAAGCGCTCTTTGCAAAACAATAGTCAATATTATTTTACTTTACACAAACCCAACAACCTAACAATCCGAGAGATTTTTCGTTTCGAACCTAAATTATCATTTATATTGTCTTAATTGGCACGAATAGCACCATCAACATTGATCCAAGCAAACAGTGAAAGTCCGTCAAGCGAATGTTTATATCTAATTATTTACAAAGTACAATCGTCAAGATAATAGACAGTATATGCTAAGGCAAAATCATCTTGGCCGTTCTAACCACCCGCATATACAAGTACTGAACAAACGGATAGAGCAGCCATAAGTCCGATGGTCGCGGTCGGAAGCCATAACAGAGTGAGCAAGGACCAAGTAAAGAAAAAAGAGAGTGGAACGAGCACCACAGTCTGACACCGGCACGAACAAAGAGTTTCGAGTGCCTCGAGCGAAGGAAAAAACAAAAAAAAAACAGAATAACACTCGCTCGAGTCGGGAGTTCTTTATTGTTCGGTGAAATTAAGCTTCGCCCTCATTTGTAGAGAAGCTTAGCGTGCGGCGGCAGGTGTGTGTCCTTAGCGAAACGACACCTTGTTAAAAGTAATCGCGCGAGATCTCTGTGTGCGTGCATGTGTGCTACTCACGGTTATTAATGCATTATTCAACGCAAGCCGGTGGCAACGACTGCGCAGCTGCAAGCTCCATCTCAACATTCTTCTTCTGCTCTTCTTTTGCGCCTCCATTCATTGCGATACACAATTCATCATGTCTCGGATGGATTGGCTGTCGTTAAGTTTTTTCATTGCTTTTTTACATCGCGCTTGTTTCATCTTAATGCAGCGTGATTTACATTTACAGCGTGTTAGACTAATTACGGCTTTAATTTAACTTTCATCGCGAGCTTCTTTATTATTTTTTTTTGTTGAAAGGAAACTTAAGCTAAGCTACGGGCATTGTAATACGGGAAGAGGTTACATGGAAGTTTAATAATAAAGTAAGTGTATGCAACTTTTCCTTCGATTTTAATGTAATTAATGCATAACTTCGGTATTAAGAAGAAGCTTAAAGCATGATTCAAATACTCGATAAAAAAATGTATTGAAGCGGAAATTCCTGGAACGAAGTCAGTTCGAGTATTCGGAAAGAGTGGTCAGCAAATTAAAAAAAATCCGGAAGTTGATTTTCACGCTTGAAATTTCGGCTTAGAGTGCTCGTTATTCGCGCATGATTGGGGAAACTTTTTTTGTCGGAACTTTCATTTGCAATCCGTATAGGATCATTATTTATTAGAAAAAAAAATCAAGAACAAAGTACTTTCGCATATTACTTTCAGATGAAAAGCGATATACACGCAATTATCCACCATCCTATAAATATACATATTTCACATATTAGTTTATATTTACAAGAAAATCATCATGAGTGCTATATATCTCGGAAGAAGTATATGTAGGCCGTCCAGCGTACCCGACAGTTCGTTCAGCGAACAACGACAACTCGAAAAAAAAAACGAAAGCCAGTGGTAGACATTGTGTGTGTGTGTGTGTGTGTGTGTGCTGAACCTCATTCATCATTGGTCCACTTATCCGAAGAAGGTTTAACGAGGCTAAGTAGAGTTTGCTAGTCCATCAGTCGTCGAACTCGTGGATCTGAGATGGCATCCATCCTAATTCTCGTAGGCAACTGCAAGAGTAATTAGACGCTTTCAAACGATGTGACGACTCCGAAAATATTCACCACCACGTCTAAGTCGGCAAAAAATGTCGTAAAGCTCCGATCAGTCGCCGGAACACGCGAGCCAAGCGCTTTCGGATTATCTGCCGCTTCGTTTTAATTGCTGCTAGACCGTCGCTTTTCAAGAATATTGCGCTGCGCTGTTATTCCCGACGCTCGCGGTCAAAACGACGTTTTGTTAAAAAGTTTTATTGTTTCGATTTGTAAACAGCCTCTTTTTCGCGGCGAGATTCAACGCGAAAATAAAATACGCTGGAAGCGATTTAGCTTTTCGTATGCGCTTGTTTATACACGTGGCGAGTTGATGCTACGAGGAGCTTGCGACGTCTTTCCAAAGTAACTTTCGTCGAAAAAAAATCACGATTCAACTTTGTCAAATTGCAATATACCCGAAGTAAAATTCAAAAGACATCTAATGAAATCTTCGATTGCGGGAGTAATCGAGCGGATGTCACTGTGTCGGCTGAGATAATTGAATCCGCCGCGACACGTGCGCAAACCGATGGATGAAAAAAAAAGCATCCACCGCGAAGGCGGTTTTCTGACAAAGCGCGAAAGATTTTTGTTCGGCTTCTCAAGGAGGCATCTCCGGTAACGACGCGAACGAAGGAAAGGAAGAGTCCCTGCGTCGGCGTACAATGAGTTTGCCGCGCGAGCGTCAACAAAGCGACCAGAAGAGAACGAAACTTACTCTCGAGCAGCAGTCATGAAAGCCGCTGGTCCGCAAGTGAAAACGCAGGCTCTCGACGAGTGCTCGCCTATCAGCTCCTTCAGCAGCTCGGTCGACACTTTGCCACACCTTGCTACCGTTGCCTCGCTGCAGCTTGCCTCCGACAGCACGTGTGTCAGGCTTAACCTGCAAAAGTATATACACTTGTCGCATCATCGCGACTTTTGCGTGTCGTACGTTGGATAAATTAGATTTTTCGCTAGCGCCGTCGACGCAGTTTTATCGAGTCTCATCGACCTGTATATATCCAGCGCCGGCTGGCTTTGCATTTTAATGCACGATGCCCGACGGATCAAGGTGAGAATTTCAATATGCTACTCTTTCGACCAGTCGAATACGTAATGCCTTCGCGCGCGAGCACTGCGCCGATATCCCTGTAATTTTCTATCATTCAGTGACAAATCCGCTTTGTTTGTGATTGAAATTTCAAATTTTTTTCACGAGTAATCTCACTCTCTCTCTCTCTCTCTTTCTCTCTTTTATCGAAATGCCTGACATGTGATTCCCGGGTTTTCATAACGGAATGTGACTATTATAAAGTTCCTGCGATTCGAAGAGGTACGTAACGACTAACGTGGAATATTCGTGCGCGATAAAATGAAAAAGATGGTGACACTGTCCTACCAGAGAACATTTTGCGAACAAAGGACATGCACGAGAAGGGAATTGTATCGCGCGCGTGAGATAAAGAACGGCGCGATCAAAGGTATGATTTTATCCGGGCTCGTAATTACGTTCTGCCGGCGAGGAAAAAGAAAGGCTGCGATCCAGCTGAGATTGGACAAACGAAAACATGCTCTCGCTGTACTCTGGAGAGCGCGCGAAAGTCTACAATCGACAAGGCGACTGGAAGATCGAATCGAGAGCCGAAGAGCTACAGTAGAATGGAATATATTCGCGAGAGAGCTTTTTAAATCCGAAGAAATATGCCAAAACGATTGCGCGATTGCCGACATTCGAGCGGCACCGCGGCCGAGCAAAGAGGAGCGAGCTCGCAGCCCGCATAATACGCTCTGGCGCGGGCTGAGGTGAAAGCGGCAAGCGAGCAAGTCGAATAAATGGGGCGGCAGCAAATCAGCTTAGCGCTTCCTCAATCTCGGTCGCTCTCGGGAATTGCTCGGCGGCGAAAAACGAGAGACCGCGAGAGTCGCCAACTCACCTGCGTTCCCCGGCAGCTCGGTCCAGCTGCTTGCCGTAGAAGATCTGACGCTCGCTGCGGTTGAAGTTGACCAGCTTCATCTGCGGCCTGCGAATACGCAAATGGACGCGCGGCCCGAGCGGAATATTAATGGTGTTTGCCCGCGCTGGAGGCGGCAGGCTGCCGATTGCCGCGTTATCGATGCTTCCCTCGATATGCGTACCACGCAGCGCAGCGGGTCTTGCTTCGCTCGAGATACGAGGCTTCTAATAATCGAGGCGTGCCTTCCGCGACAAATTCAATCGAATGCACTTTCCAAGGCTCGATTAGTTGCCGCTCTTCGATAAAATCTCACGTCCTTTATCGACTTAAATCGCACCTCGTGGGAAGCGCATTTCAAGGGGAAAGTAACTCAGCGTAACGATGAGGTAACTCACGAATTGCGCCTGCACAGTGCTCGCTTGATAATTGGCAGCATGACAGTCAGCCCGCTACCAGCAGCGAGCATATTGACAAGCGGATACCTATCGTACGCCTCGATCTTGAACTCCCCCAAAGTATTGCTCAGCAGCAGGGTTTGTCCGGCGGTCAATTGGACGAGTCGCGGTGTCAAAGCACCGTCCTCGTAAAGTTTGACCATCAGATAAAGGCAAGAGGACTCGTCGTCGTCGGTGCAGCCGGCCGGTCGATCGCCGGGATGTAGACAACTCGGCACCGGGGTGTAGGGCCGCGAAACTTCCGTGCCTGCGTCGCAAAGAGACCAGCCAGATAACGAGAGCCCTGTCTTTCGGCAGCTGGCCGAGCAGAGCGTCGACCGCGCGAGGCGATTGAATTTCTCGTTTATTCGCGCAGGGAACGTCAACTCGTCAGAGTGGCCCAATCAAAGCGACGCGTGCGGTTGTATTAGCTGTATCCACTACCGGGGCTGTAATTATGCGCGCTCTGTGTTTAGATTCAATTAGCAGCACGCCCGTTTTCACGCTGATCGTTTCTGAAATGCCGTATCGATCTGATGTCTATTACGTTTAGGCGCTTGACGTGACATTTCGCGCTGAGTAAAATATACACGGCGCCTGCGTCGTACAGTGTTTTAATTAAAATTTCGATTAAAGCCGCTCTCGAGCACGCATATTCAATTATTGGCAACGATGCGTTCTATTTATCGCCACGCTATTGGAAATTATTAGCAGTCCATTAACCATCGAATAGTTCCATCAACGTCATTAAAACTAGAACAATTTAATCGCCTGTCCATCGCGCGACGGATAGAATGTTTTTATTGTGAAAACGCGGAACAAAAGCCGCAACAAGTTTAATGCTCACCATTCACGTTCATCTTGGCGTCTAAGTATCTGCCGGGCGGAACAAGCTGAATGAAATTCCGCGCACGCAAAACTAAAAGATGAACTACTTTGCAGAGCGGAGTGTTTTCCAGCACCTCGTATTCGCTGTAGGTTCTCTCAGCGGCGGCAGTCGGTCCGAGCTTTTCACTCGACTCCTCGAAAGTACCGTACGTTTTCCAGATTCCTCGCTCTTTCTTTTTGAAGGATATCTCGATCTTGCAGAAAGGTAACAAAGTGATGCATCATTGTACACTCGTAAATATACGGAAATTCTATGTTTTAATTGAACAATCTAACAAGCTCTGGTTCACTGCCTCGTTCTGGAGTGCTTCGGAGTTGAATACGTACAAGTTGCCGTTCGTCGGCGAACTTTCTTATAGAAATGAACGAGCATCGCTTTTTACTTGATTCTGGCATGCCTTTACAAAGACAACTACTTTCTGCCAAAACAAAGGAACGCAAGAGCGTGCTCGACCAAAAATTAAATCGGAACAAAAGCCTCAATCGCAAATGAAAACTCCTCCTCGCGGCCACTCCGTTTATCGCCTCGAAAACCCTCGTTCGCGGGAGAGAAAAGAGCGAACGATAAAATACACTCCTTTTTCTCCCGCGCGGCCCAAGTGGCAATCAACAGACAGCTCTTGCTCTCGCGCGCGAACAGACAAACGCAGCAGAAGAGGCGATCTAGGTTCGTTTACCTCGGAAGTTTCGGCGTCGCGTTTGCAATTGGGCGGCCACTCGAGGTCCCCGGCAAGGCTGAGGCGACGCGTCACCGCGAGCTTTTCCTCGTCGAGGCAGATCCTCACCGAGTGCTCCGAGTCGCTTAGCTTTCGCACTTGACACTCGCCGCACGACGACGATGCCAGCGAGTAGAAGAACGACAAGGACGACGTCGTCTGACGCCAGTCCATTCTCAAAGTGCTACTGGAGCTAGGGGCCGGATCCGGGACGGCTTTCACGCTTTTTTCTGCAATAGTGTGCTTGTAATAATGCGTGGCACCTTTCTGGAGACGTCCCGTTCGATCGTCCCTCGAAAAATACTCACTGGACTTGTCGTTGTGGCTCTCGAACGCGAGGTCTGCGCTCGCGGAATGCTCCAATCTCCCGACCACGCATTTCTGCAGGATGCTCTGATAGTTCACCCACGCGTGCACCTAAAAATAGTCGACGAAATCATTGATCATCATCGGAAAAATAAGCGAAGCACGAATCCAACTCACGTCATCGAACAGCTTTGTGGCGTCCTTTCCAACGGCCTTCATCAGCTCGGGTACACCGCCGGGATGAAATCTCATGTAACGCGACACGTTAAAAACTACTCCTGCAAAAGGTGTATTTTTGCAATGATTATCGATGCGACTGTTTGGATTGTCACTGGGTGGGAAGTTTCGCGGTCGAGCTCGCTGAAAGCGTTAACTTTTCAATAGCGGCAAAGCGTGCGAGGACTTAAAGTTCTTCGCTAGGTCAAAGTTTGACTTGGCCCGCCCCCTCTCCCTCTCTCTCTGAAGTTTGCTTGTTATGTCAAACCGCATAAGAGAGTAGGCCGCGTTTCGAACCACACTGCTCTCTGGCGACGGAAAGCCGAAGACGCCTCGAAGGACTCGTACAACGCAACAAATGAAAGCTGCGTTTTTGCGTGCGGTCGATCTATACGATAATTCCGACAAGTTATCGAGCTTGCCAACACACGCGGCACGTATGCTGGGACAAGAAGCTGCACAACGAGAAATAACTGGCCACGAAACGAGGCTCGGCCCGGCGACAGCCCACTACGTGCGGCGTGCTAGAGGGAGTTTGTGCGCGCGACTCGTGTATTCAGAATTGAATTGGCGCCGATACAATGGCCTTCGCAACAGTTGCAGCGGCGGCGGCACCAGCAGATACGCTACGTGGGTTGATGGGGAAGCGAAGACAAAAGGCCGAAAGTTTGCCGGAGGGGAGGGAAGGGATAGGTGCACAGGTGCACGGAGCGGACACTTGCCTCTTATAGCGATCCAAGCGTCGTCCTGGCTGTTGTGTCGGGCCAGCTCGGCGGGTGTGACCGTGATCGGCCGACCGCCCACGCCACTCAGGTCGACGCCTGACGAGCCCAGTCGGATCCAATCCATGAGACTGTGGCCAGGCGCCAGTGCCGTCTTGTTGCGCGGATTACCTGCAAGCGAACACGGCGCATCAGCGAGATATCGGCTCGATGGAAAATTGGACTAATGATCGCGTGCCACGGACAGATCGATCGGACGAGCTTGCTAAGGCCTGTCGCTACCTTTTGTCGCCGCTCGGTTTTTCTTTTTTTGCCACGCTAATGACTGGCACTTGAATGAGGCGTTGCCAGCGGCGACGCGTGCTCGTTAATTTTTAATCTGGATTAGCCTCTCGCTCTTTCGACCTCGCTGCGGCGAGTGGCTAATGGCTGCTGTTCGCGGAATTTTATTGCCATGACCCGTGGGATGTGCACCGTGAAATTCAACGTTACGCGATTCATAGCGTCTTTTACTAGAGACGAGTGCGGACTCTACGACACCGAGTGGATACTTTGCTATCTAGTTTTGGTGCTGCTAAACGATTTATTGCTTCTTCGAATAGAATGGCATTTGGTTTTTCTGTTGGTTTGAAGAATATATTTAGACGCTAGTTCACATAGAAGCTAGTAATCTACTTATCTACTAATCTAGAATTATTATTGAAAACGCGCGAAAAACTGAGAAAGTTGAGTGTTACGACGAAAATGGAGCATTTCAAAATTTGATGCAACTACTTATGCAGTTTGTGAATAAAGGCGTCACATTTCGCACCGAAAAACGAAACCAATCATAAAACTTTTTCCGTTCCTCGAGCAACGAAAAATAGCGAACGCCAAACCAATTGCAAAACAGTACTACTCCGAGTACTGGTTGCGAAATCTGGGGTATTTTCCAAAATGAATCATTTTGCCGAATCGTAAGATTTAAGCTAGGAACTAACCTCATTTAATGTATGAAAATTAAATTTGACCAGGTGACATTTATATTGAATAACCGTCATATGAATGCACACATTTAAAAGTATAATTTCGAAAGGTACTTGCAAAAAGACCATTTATCACAGAATAATATCCATTAAATTTATTTCAATTGTTTGAGAAATGATCACGTAAAAATAATGATTCATAGTTGCAGTCAAAGTTTTTGATCTTTTAAGAAGGTAATTCAAGATTTAAAGGATTAAATAATAATTTGTTAATTACAAAAATCTAAAAGATTAAATTCAAATAACGATTGATTTAAGTAAAAAGATTGCAAATATTCACTCTTTTATCACGCAAACTTGAAAACAGGTACCTCATCTATCTCTATGAGTGTCGTGTGTTAATATATATGGTATTGAATAAAATATAAATAAAATATAGCAAACAATTTATACCTGAAAATAATTTTGAATTTTAACAATCTTGAATTTTATTATGAACAATCCTTAATTCTCACTATGAGTACAAAAAATTTTTTTCTAAATACGAACATATAATGCATAAGCGATAAAAGTAATAATAATAACAGATGAATTTAGTTGTTATAAGTTATTTATTGTTTATTTATTTAAAAGGTTTGAGAATATAGTTTATCAATCAGTGTTTATTTCATTATATTTTATTAAGAACAATATCAACGCACATGGAAAAAGGTGCAGAAAGACAACTGGCGTAACCTATAAATATCACACATAATCAGTAATCAAGGCAGGCTGATTTCGTAGCATCCAATGAGGTCATTTAAATTGCAGGTCCTCGAATGATTAGTATTTGGAGTATTATGGGCATGTAGATTAACGTTTGATCTCCGATGCGTTGATGTCGAGGAGAAAACAAGAGAGACTAGGCAGATAAGTGCTAATTGGCAATTGATCAAGGTAGTGTGTGCATATATAGTACGCTATACGAACACTCATGGACAAGTGTATAACATACTGACCTGCTGATGGCGACTCATCGCGATGATAGCAACAGCACCACCAGTGGCGACGCATTGACGGTGACTGAGCCACTGCTGCTGCGCTCTCTCTCTCTCTCTCTCTCTCTCTCTCTCTACTGGTCATCGATCGCGTGTTCAGCTCAGCTTGCGCGCCTAACCCCTTTCGTCAGACTTTTCCGTCTAGGTAAGTGCACTCTCTCTCTCTCTCTCATTCTTCCGCCGGACGTATATATTATCGATAAGTCCATTCGCCAACTTTTAGTCGAGCCGCAAACTTAGCTCATGACAATCACGTGAATCTTTCCTATTATTTTGCTCGCAGTATCGCGCCTTTTTGTTATTACATTCTAACTTGGCTTTTGCGCGCATAGCCACAAAGTGAATAACAACAACTTTGAACAAGATTAAAGGCTTACAAAGTGTAGGAATGGCGCTGCCGAGTACGTTTGAAACCTTAAGCTGGCCACGTACGTCGTCGCGAGAGGTGCAGCTTAGTTTATGAAAATTAGCAAATTAGCAAATAAAGGAACGTGCTCCGTGGAGAAAATCATGGGAAAAGTGCTACAGGGTCATTAGCAGATAGTAAAAAGGGCGACTCGATCGTATTGTTGGCGCGCAGGCAATAGAGTTGGATCGGGTTTGAGGAAAGTCGATTAATCATCGAGTTATCGCGTAAAGTTTCACTGCCCGCACGCAAGGCTAGGACCCATTATTTTTTGAAATGTAATACGACGGCTCACGTTTATGTATACAGTGCACGATTATTCGGTGCTACTTGCGCGACGGAGAGTGAAGACTTAAAAGTTTCTGATGTACTATTAAATCTCCTGCTTGCCGCCATTATTCACGCTCTTGTCGTTTAACTGACCAATTGCCACGGATTGTTACGCTAGAAGTCGTGTGAAGTACGGCCACTTCGAAACGCAACGATTGCAATTTTTTCCTCTCGGGTGAGCTTCGAATTAAATCGCCTGCAACGTTTTTAGTCCCACCGCGGCCAGCCGTTAAGGACATCGTCATGCAAAATATGCTTCCGTTGGATCGAATGCCGAATCATTTTCAAAGGAAAGGCGAATATACTCGTTGATTTGGTCGATCAGGCGCGACTTGACCAAAAGTTTTCTCCTATTTTTCGGGAAGTTGAAGCGATTTTGTATCGATAACGCTGCACATAGGTTATTTCAAAAGAACGCGCTTCGCTTTGGTCACTTTGCTACAGCCAGTGCACTCCGAAGAATCGACAAACGTGAAAGAGGCGTCTTTCAACGGCCACCTTTGACAGCCAATGGACTGTATTGAAACGCGCTTTCTTTCACATGCTCTTCTGACTAGGCGTTGCTAATACATTATAGTAATGTGAAACGAATAATTCGCTTGATTTACATTAATCTTGTCTGGAAAAGAAATTCTCACCAAAACTAGTTATTGCAAGGCTGAAAGCTCTCAAAATCGAGACTAGCTAATATGAAAAATCGCTTTGCATAATTGGCAATATTGACTGGTTGTACAGTAGCTGGGACATCCTCTATTTTCTTTGCGCCTTTTTCGAAAGAAGCATTCATCCAAATAAACGCGATAGTACACCTAGAGTGAAATTTCGTTTCTATTTCTCCATTTTGTATTGTATACTCGTATAAATTTTTCCGCAGAAGAAGATGCTGAATAAGATATTGAATTGATGCAAAGAGGCTTTTTAGGTCTCAAATGTAGACCGTTATTGATTGGCCACCGACGGGTCTCAACTAAGTAATAAGCAAATATTTTACACGCCTGTCTTGTCCATTGGCGGTGCACCCAATGTAATTCCACACTTTAGCAGTCCATTAGCGCCGGCAAAATGGCGACTGGCAATTGATCAGTTTGACCTCGTCTTCAAATGCGCTTAAAGAATAAGTCATAAAGACGTCTTACAGGAACTTTGCGAATCGGCGGAACTCTTAGAAGCTCCTTCTTTGAGGCTCACCCCTTTCCAAGTGTCGTAAACTTGAGATGATGGGTCTTATAAGCTATTTATACTCCGAAATTGCTAAGTCCGCAAACATTTTGAAACGCTAAAATTCATCATTTTCATTAGAATTTAATTGCACATTTGAAATCGAACTTTATCAATAGTTCGAATTTTAATTACCCCCAGAATATTCCGTTAAATTGGATAGACTAAATCGCGATAAATATACGGAGGGAATGATTTATGAACTCGAACTGATTTATGCGCTCAAGTATAATTTTCAATGCATACCATTCAGTTGAAAAGTGCATTAGCTAATAATTCGAGTTTCGTTTGCTTGAACCGTAACGAAATTGCTATTGACTTTGAAACGAGCGTAAAATTTGTTTCACTCGATCTCATTTAAACAACCATATTGATGTCTACAAATCGATGATTTCCCGAGTGTTGGAAAAATTGAACGAATTTTCAAAGCACGACAAAACGACATTCGAGTTGAACGAGAAAGCTCGACTGGAACTTTGTAAAAGGATTCGATGGGAACAAAAAAGATAGCAGCTGATATCACGATGTTTTCGCAAGTCAAAGAATTATCCGACTACGTGCAAACACACACACACACACACACGCGCGCGCGCGCGCGCGTATATCCATAGGCAATGCAAGGAACTCTCGTTTCTCAACGGAAAGCCAGTTTACCCCGAGGCTACAATCGAAAGCGTTCACTTCAGCCAACAACAAACAAAAAGAGCGAGAAAAAGAGCAGCGTACGAATCGGAAATTGAACAATATCTGCAGGTAGGGCAAAGTGATTTTCTCCCTAGGAGAACTCACCAGTGGCTGAGCCAGAGGCCGACGAAGTCACCGGGGGCTGCGAACTTTGACGAAGCTGCTTGACTCGGGCGATGCCGCTGGGCAGGATGGCAGCGTTCTTGACGAGCAGTCCGACGGCAGGAGTCGCCGGTGGCTTCATCTCGATCTTTCTCATTTTCTCGTCCAACTCGTCGGCACCACCGCCGCCAGCAGCATCACTTTGACGAGCGGCCTGGCCGGCTTCCATGTCCTTCATCAAAGGCAGGCGGAAAAAAAAAACAAAAAACACATTCGCTTCAATTACTTGTTCTTTTGATCGCCGTGCCAGAGAGAGCCGCGACTTGGCAAACGTATGAGCTGCGAATAAATCCTTGTCCCGCGAGTGCAAAAGCTTACTTCTTTATGCTCCTCCCTTGGCCGATAAGTGTATTGTTTCGTTCGAGCGTGAAATCGAATTTCTCTGCTTTTCTCGATGCTCGCCGCGCGGACCTGTTTTTTCTTTCTTTTTTGCCTTTTTGTTTGTTTATCTCTCGGCTGTGCTACTTTGCAACGATACTTATTTACTGGACTGAACTCCTTCCCGTGAGGATACAATATTGTTGCTTTGCAGATTCGTCTTCTGGTAATCATTTGGCAATCCGATAAAGGTATTATTCGCCACCGCACAAAGGTTACAGATGACAATATGCTATTTATGCGAACAGGCTCGCAGAGATTACATTACAAACTAAATATTGATGCATGCCTAGCGTGCAACTTTACTTTAACTTTCAAATAAACTAAAATTACTTTGTCTACAGAATTTGAATTGATTATCTTGTTTTCCAGTCCACCTTGTCGGTTCACGAATAATTTCTTAAATAATTGCAGATAAAATTCCATCGCTCTTAACGCGCCTCGAGATAGTAACAACCAAAATCGAATGTTTTTTTTTTTCGATTTCTCGAAAAAGAGTTTCGCGACGAAGCTAATAGGCGTCCAAAAGACCCGAATTTCGCCCAACAACGATAACAACGGCAATGATCGTTCGTCCTTTTTCAATCTCGCCGCTCGCGGCACGACGCGCGAGGTGGCAGCACTTACCGGCGAGCTCCACGTGACCATCCGCGGCAAAAGTGAAATCTTTCTTATTCGCCCGCTCGTACATCTCCGTTACAAGATAAACGGGCCACATGCGTGCACAGATGAGAAGCAGAGGGCGAAAAGGAAAGGAGCCGAGTGCCGACGACACTGTCGAGTTTGAAAACTGGTTTAGCGCCCGCGTCGAAGGAGCGATGAGCTGCTAGCGAAAATTGGCGAGCGTGCGCCGGCGAATCAGTTTTCTCTCTGTCTCTCGCGAGCGCCTTTTACAATCCGATCGTAAAGCCCAATCGATACTCTCCGAGTCTCCGTGCTCGCACGCCGGATGGAATTGAAAATTTTCGCTGCGACGACAGCCGCTATCAGACGCTGTAATCTAATCTCGTGCAGTCGCGATTGGTGAAGGAACGAGAGGCATCTTTCTGCCACGGTTGCGCTGAATCTGCGAAAAGTTTGGTGTGCAGTTGGCCAACCAGCGAGAAGAGAGGAGCTGTACATTCACCGCCAGGACGATCACGAAGAAGCGAATCGTTGACAGCCGGAACCCTTGCGGCTGCCCCAGCTACTATAGACTGGTGAGTTGACGATCAAGTCTTTTCCTCGGCAAGCCGACGATTTCCACCTAACTATTGTGCACAGTATATTTATACATCAATTTTCACGTTACGTGTTACCGTGCACAATAGTTCACGTGTAAAATAATTACGCACGCAATCGTCGCTTTGCCTTTTCCTCGTCATTTCTTCAATTATCACGGCCAAATGTCATCGACGCGGCGAGTAGGCAAAGCGTATTTCACACGATGTGAATGAGACTTATCAACATCGTCCGCGACTAACGGTACTGTAGCTATGAATTAGGGAACGAGGACACATTTTTCGTAAGCGTCGTCAGCGGCGAGACCGAAGAAAGATAATCAGCTCGCCTAACCTATAAGGAAAGTAGCAGGCGCTGTGCCGTGTGTACTCACGTTGTGTATGCCCTTGGCTGGAGGATGTGCGAGTCACGAGTGAGAAATTCGGCGAACAACGTCAATGAAGCTCCATTTTCCAGTTGAAATCGTTGCACGCACGTGACTTGATCTTGACGAACTCGCGCGTAGGGGCATTCTCGCGACTTATGCTGCCCCGCGCGCGCGAGAGAGAAACTTTGTATTATTAAAAGTGCCAGTGCTGTCACACGCACGTAAGATCACGCGCGCGTGTGGGTACGGTTGACGTTACGCGCGTGGGATATAGGCGCGTGCGCATCGGTGCGCATCGTCTACTACCGTGATGTGTGCTTGGAATTCGAAATGATTTTTATCTCCTTTATTATGAAGCGAGCTTCAAACTCTCAAGTTTTCAGGAAAGTTTTGTTCGACGTGTATTGTAATACAACTTTGTGTCGAGGAAACATGATTGATTGCAGTACGTATAAGTTTTTCTCGCTTTTTCCGTAAGCCTCCGACTCCGAGGCTTGCGCATAAGCTTAATGTTTTCTTTTTATTTTTGCAATGGCGTCATCAAACTTGTTTCTATTAGGTAATTGAAAATCCTGAAAAACTGTTCGTCTCGTAGCAGGAAATCAGTTTATAAACTCAGAATGTAATAATTTATATAGAACACAATTTGTAATTGACAAGCGGCGGACGGTTGAACGCTTTAAAAATAAAACTCGCCTCGCATGTTCCACACCCGCGCGAAAAAGGCAGCGCACAAAATAGAACTGGAGTTCGTATGAAACGTGTAGTTGGACGCAAAATTACTCTCCGTCGAACGTATCCTTCTCGTACTAAGCACTTATCGCGAGAGAAAAAAAAATTGTCGAGCTCGCAGTCTTTGCTCATATTACGTATAACTGTCGGCACGAAAGGTTCATTGACAGGAAAAAGACGTTAATTCCGCATCATTGATGCAGCTAGAAGAGTATTAAATTTTATCAATGATCGATACGCAACGAAAGATGACACCGGCAAAAAAATTCCTTCACGGCCAGCGAAAAGAAAATCCGCTCGATGTTGGTATTCTTTGTCTCTTCATGCGTGGTTTTAACACGCGTATCTCTGCATGGTCAATTGGCGCGATTTTTTTCTCGACTACCGCGGCCATACAGGCGTGTCGTGCTGGTGCGCGCGCGCGTTCTAGAGAGAAGACATATATAGCTATAGATTCTTTAACTGTTCTCTCTCTCTCTCTCTCTCTCTCTCTCTCTCTGTCTCTCTCTCTCTCTCTCTCTGCTCTCTCTCTTGCTAAGCTATATTGTCGGAGGAGCTTTTAGTTTCAGTCGACCGGCGTGTCGCGTACGCGACGGTCAAGGATTTAATATTGAAACACAACGTGTAGCGCGTAGTCCGGAATTTTCTTTGCAACAGGTATTACACGAGAAATAAAGTTCTGCTTTGTAGTGTGTGCAGCTCTCTTTGTTTGCTTTTTTCGATTCGCGTGCTTCGATTCAGTTTCAAGGATCAACAAGCCGCATTAGGGTGACGTGCGGGCAGTGATGGGCCTTAAGTAACAATTATTACGTGAGCGTTTTTTATCGATGCAGTTTTGCATGGCATTTTAGCCATATTAACGTCGGATTTTAGGACACGTTACGAGTGATTAGATAGAGGGCATACTTTTCTTTGCATTGATCTTCCATCAGAAATATTTTCGTGCAAATGTATAATAATGACATGAAATAAAATTTATATCGGTATATACAGATGTCGCGTGAAACAGAGCTTAGCGTGAAATTGAAGCATAAGCATGTACGCTGCTCTGCCCGATGACGTATTCAAACTACTGAACGTGAATAAATCGTTCGCAGATATTAAATCTCAGTCTGTCACCATTTTCTAAAAAGAAAAAATAACAAGCTCGTTTGAACGATCTCGCTGTGAAAAATAATTAAGTGCACGAATTAGAGATGCGTATCGTGATGGATATGTTGTCGATGGAGTTCTCACGCGAAGTTAATTACCGTTCCCACGGAATAAAATTAGCATGTCTCCACATTTTGTTATGTGGGAGGATGCTAATATTTACGCTGGAATTCCGAACGAGCCGTGCAAAGGAAAAAAAATAAACAGACATTCTCGTTCGGCACACGTTGCTTGTGCAGTTGCGAAGTGCTTCTTTTCGCATTCAGTGAGAGTGAATGAACTACTGTGTCGTTTAATGAACATAGACGTTTGCACGAGGTCGACATGGAACAATGTAATATTTCGCGTCGCTCTGGGTTCACGAGTTTTCGTTTTTTTTCTACCTCCCTTTTTTGCATATTTGCGCATTCTTTTTGGCGATTTATAGGCTGACTAAGTGGATTTTGAAGCGTTGCGATAAAAATTTTATGCGTTTAGTGGCGCTGTGACTGATATTTTGTTAGACTCACCTTTAGTTAATATAGGTAATTTTTTGGTAAGTAGAGCTGAAAGAAATAATTACACTTCCTTAGTAGACACTCATAGAATTGAATCTGTTGGAACAACATTGGTCTGATTTAAGATATTAAAGATCTCACGAAAATCGTGATATTAATGGCTTTTCACTTTAAATGGTTTTAACGTCAAATATGAATTTCATGTTTTTCCTTGCAAATACAACATTATAAACGAAATCATCACGACGACAAGTCGTATAAAGAAAAAGCTTGCGTACAATTGAAGATATTTAAAAAAAAATGATGATGTAAAAATATCGCTTAATCCAATTAAGCAGAGGTAAAGTAACGGTAGAAGCGAATGCCTCGTATAAATTGCAAAGCAGACGAGAGACACGGAGGAATAATAATGTTTGTAGTGGGCATTGATCGGGAAGAAGCATTTAGCAAACACTTATTGAATTGATTAGTGATGAACTGCGGCCGGTGCTCGGCTTACGTGCCTCTAGAAGATTGCACTCTGTCCTGAAAACCGCGCGCGTGGATATTACGATATCGCTTCTAGCTATAAATACACATTTTCTAAAGGTTATTGAAAATCGACTCTTTTGTTGCAAAGCGTGCGTGCGACACACGCGATCGTAGACAGCCCCACTGAACGCGCATTACTACGTTTATTACAGTCCGAGGGTGTTACATCATTCCCTCGCGGCCGGCGGAGTTTGAAGATAACATGATTACCTAATGCAACGTATCTTTTTATGAGTGTGCATATGTGCAATTCTTCGAGCAAAATTGTCACTCAACGGCGCTATGAGTGCTCACAATAACTACTGTCAATAAAGTTTAAAAGCGAAAGTGACGTGTCACTTGGCAATTGATGGAGCGCGTCTCACAAAAATTGACACAAGTTTTTGTCTTAATTTTTTTTTATCGCGTATTTTATGATTCCATCACAAGTGTATGTAAATCTTGTCCACAGATAAATGCATTTAAACGAGGAAGACAGAGGTCAATCGAAGAACGCAAGATGAAGAATATCGTGAGAGTGATAAATCTAGTTCACAGACTTGTTGAACTGATCGCCAGAGGTTTCTTTCTGCTCGTTGCCTATATCAGTGGCCCTGCAGAATGTCAACCGTGCATCACGGATTTGACCCTTATGCACAGTGCATCGGCACTTGCGCTAAAGATTCGCAATCGTCAGGTAAGATTACGGAGATTGGTTTTATGTGTGTGGTTCAATTTTCGGTGCACGATACTCGTCGATGATCCTATTTGAATGTGAATTAATTATTCAATTTGATAGACTTTTGACGATTTTTCAATGCATTAACCTAATACATTTTATAATATACAGCGTTTACAGCGTTGAATGGTCGTTGATGATTAAATTCGTTCAATCAAAAGTGTTTGTGGAAAGTAGGTCAAATTTACAATTAATCGTGGATTGCATGACTCTTGTAGTAAGAGCTTAACATTTCATAGTAAACAGTGAAAATTTTATTATATTAGCTTTTTTACCGAGAAGTAATATACAAGAAATTGAAGTTCACGATAAAGATTCGGTTTATAAATAAAATAAATTCAAGAGTTTCACTGAAATAACATTTGTAAAAATATGTCCATGAATTAGAAATATCTCAATATCATATGAGCTTACAAAATATAAGAATAACTCTTAGAAATAACTTGCGTGGCTTCACGCGTAATTCTTTATATTTGATATCACGACACGTTTTCACGACTTTTAAAAATTTATTTCAAAATCGTCTACGAATGAACGCGTTATTTATTTTTCACGCTTTATAAATTTAAAACGCACAACAGTTTCTTATATCATATTAAAGAAAAAAATTAAGTATAAACTCAGTAGTCACTTTTTCCATCGTGGCATACGGAAGCATTTAAAAATGATTTTTGCTCACGATATTTGTCGGAATAGTTAACACGTGTGCGTCAAGAGTCTACATAATTTGTATGCATTTGTAGTTATCGTCGGAGGAGGTAGTCAAATCTTACATCACAAGGATCAATGAGATTCAACCGATTCTCAATTGCGTCTGCGAAACACGCTTCGAGGAAGCACTCAAAGAGGCTAAGAAATGTGACGAGCTGCTCAAGGTACTCAACGGACCTTCGGCCGATGTTCTTGCAAAGGATAAACCTTTTTTCGGCGTTCCTTTCACGACAAAGGTACAGTTTATTGGCTAACATAAATGTTTTAAAGAGTTAATCACTCCGTATCTAAATAAAATTGAAGAACATGAAATTAAATCAAATGTTTTTATTAAATACTTGTTTCAAGTCAGGTTTATTCGCGATATAACGATTTCAATTGCAGGATTTGGCATATTATGGTTACAAAATCTCGTTTTTTAAACAATCGATGTTATGTATAATTTAAAGTATATTACAAAACTTAAAAAAAAAACTTAAATATTAAATAGTATTAATAAATACTTCAAGAACTTAGTAATAATTTTTCCAGATTGGAGAAACTACTATTTCGAAATGAGAAAGAAAAAATGTTAAGATAATAATAATTGAATTTTTTATTACAGGATTGTATTGCCGTTGAGGGTATGAAGCAAACAGCTGGTTTAGTAGCCCGTAAAAATTATCGTGCTGATAAGGATTCAGAAGGAGTGAAACTTATGAGATTAGCTGGAGGTATACCGATCGCAACGACGAACGTATCCGAGCTTGCGATGTGGTGGGAAAGTACAAATCGTATTTATGGAACTTCTAGAAATCCTTACAATACTAGGTGATTCATGTTTTTGTTATCAGCTATTATACATTCAATTGTCAATTCATTACAACAGTTGGGAAATTTGACTTTTTAGTATTCTTACGTGGATCATAAGAAATATAAAAAACTGACCAAGTAAAAAAATTTGAGCTGTTGTCATTTGATTTGCGAGATAATTACGTTTTGAAAATTCAATCGAAATAAATGTGTTTACAGGCACATTGTAGGTGGTTCTTCTGGTGGTGAAGGTTGTCTACTTGCGGCAGCTGGCTCGCCGTGTGGCATAGGTTCAGATATAGGTGGATCAATTCGAATGCCATCATTTTTCAATGGGATATTCGGACACAAACCCTCTAAAGGTATATCAGAAATATTTTTATTGAAACGGAAGTTACTTTCAAAGGAAGATCTTGACAATAACTTATTTTTAAATATACTTTTAAAAGATGTTTAAACATCTATTGATATCATAAATTTTATCTGTGATTGCGTTTTTTATTTATTTAATATAATACGAAAATCATAATTTCTCTTGAATAACTAAGAATCGTGTTACGAAATTATCAAAAATATATGATTTGAAAACATATGAAAACCGGATTAAGTCTCTACTTTATAAATAATTCTGTTATCAATTAGCATTATAACATTATTATAATCAATTTAGGCAGCTAAATTTAACGCTTAACCAATAAATTTACAGAATATGTATGAAATGCAGAATATGTATCTACAATGTCAAAATTCGAAGTAGTGACCTAACTATACTTGTGAATTTTTAAACTTTATCTAACTTAAATACGTTGTTTGGAGGACAATTTAATTTTCTCTTTAATCGATTTATCGGATTGTGTTAGCGGGTCGCAAGCGAGTAGACACGAAGTAGCCGAGAACTTACCGTAACTCAATACTTATACATTAAAATGGCCTTTCTGGACCTATGGAAGAGTGTCTATAAATAATCACAATCCGTAGGCATCATAAAATTATACATATTTTATATGAATTTGAAAACTCTTATCTTTTGTTATCTTATGAATATATGAATTCAAAAGTTCTTATCGTTAAAAAATATTAACCGAATCGATGTAGATTAAAAATTAAAAATTATACCAGTTATGAGATTCTTGTTTAGATGTAATTTTAGATAAAAGATTGTTTTATGCATTTTGTAGTAATACGGTTCAATTTAGTCACCAATTATATTCAAAAAAATTACACATGTTGAAAATATCGTAGGTATAGTGATATTACAACACCTATTCTGTTTGGTTTATAAGATTGTACTTTTCGTGAAAGATGTGTGGAGGAGGGAAAAATGTATTTTTAATATTATGTGAATAATTTCACAAGAAATGCAGTCTATCTTCGAATGAAACAATAATGATAAAATTAAAATTAATACAAGCGACTTATACATTCACATGATCTTGATAATATAATGTTAAATTGCATGTTAGGGATTGTATCGAATGATGGACAATATCCGAGTGCTGAAACCGAAGATCAAGAACAGCTTTTAGCTCTTGGACCTATGTGTAGATTCGCTCAAGATTTGGCACCCATGCTGCAAGTAATGGCTCATAAAAATGCTGATATGCTGAATTTGCAAATTAAAGTAGACGTCTCCAAGCTCAAGGTCTATATGATTCTATTTGTTACTTATATGAATTATGATTTCTTATTTTTTATAAGTCAATTCTCAGACTTATAAAAATATTTTATTAATATTTATAGTTCTTCATTTTTTTTAACGTTACGTTCTAAAAGTAAGCAAATGTTATTTTAGATATACTATATGGAAGATGACGGCGGACAACTATTGGTATCAACTGTTGATCACGAGATAAAAGAAAGTATGAGACGTGTAGTACAGTTCTTTAAAAAAGCCCACAATGTCAAGGCAAAGAAAGTCAATATTCGTAATTTTAAGAAAAGTCTAGCTCTATGGTTTGCATGTATGGCAACTGAACCGGGAAAAGATTTTGCTTATGAAATGGCTAATAGAAAAGGTCGCGTGAATGTATTGCTGGAGTGGTTAAAATTTATAACATTTTGTTCTGACCATACTCTGTCAGCTCTAGTAACTTCATCGTTTGAAACGTTCAATGTTCAATATGGCAGCGAAACAGCTAATAAGTTGAAAGAGGAGTGTAAAGAGCTGCAGCAAGAGTTCAAGGTTAGAATATAGAGATATTTCGATGACTTGGTTTTATAGCTTTTAGAAGCTGCACCTAACTAGCTTGTAGCCTAGCTTGTACAATTGCAAATAATTATTTTGTATTTTTCATATTTTTCCCCAGGATATGTTGGGCGACGACGGAGTCTTTTTGTATCCAACGCACCCCACAGCTGCGCCCATGCATTATGAGTCATTCGTGAAACCTTTTAATTTTTCCTATACGGGCATCATTAATGTGCTAGGTTTACCAGCTACTGCCTGCCCACTTGGATTGAATAAACAAGGGCTTCCTATTGGAATACAGGTAATGTTTATATAGCACATTAGTCGAGCAATAATAACGGTTAAAAAACAAAACAAATTAAAGATTCAATCGAATAAAACTGAAATGTTGACTAATATTTGATGTAAGTGTACGAAGTGAATCAGAAGCGGTAAATTATTGTTTGCATTCTTTGTTTTTTCTAGGTTGTTGGTGGACTCTATCAAGACCGCAATACATTAGCTGTGGCCGAGGAGCTGCAGCGTGCATTTGGAGGCTGGGTTCCTCCGGAGATAGCTGAATGAAAAATCAATGCAAATTACTTGTCTAGTTTATGGTTCAAAACCGCCGAACAATGCCTTAGCCTCATTTTTTTTAATGAGGCCACATGTATTTTTTGAAATTATGCGAGAGATCTCATGTAAATGCGGTTAATGCCGTTATTTAATTTACAATACACACAATGGAAAGAGATTTTATATATATATACATTCATAGCTATAAAAAAAATTTGTTGATGCATTGAAAGGAAAAAAAGGCAATTAATGTTGATCTAGATATGCGATGATGCAATTAATTTTTACCTACTAGATTGCTGTATTCCTATTATATATCTCGATCAAATTATATTTTTGTGTATACGGATGAAATAATGATGTTCTATATAATTATTTGTATCTATTTTTTTCAGATGACTATTTGTATAATTTTATAGGAATAAATTTTACAAGTGATATTAACGACTTTTCATAAGATTGTGCATATTTATTTTCATAAATAATATAACATTACTGTAACACATTTACGAATCTTGTACACGTTGCACGGAAGACGAGTTTTCCGATAAGGATCAGTACATAAGATGAACGATATGCAAAATAATGCTGTCTAAACCTAATTACAAAGTTTACAGTAATGGTAATGATACTTGTATGTTAAAGAAACTGAGATAAAGTGATAATACTTGAAATTGTGTAGTACGTCGATTTAAAAATTATATGTAACACTTTTGCTTTCAAACTGACAAACAATAGCAACGCGATTTCACAGCTCCGTTTTTCTTAAAATTTCTAAGCTCCAGTTCTACAACCCGCGGGCAAACAAAAATAACACACGCTGTCATGGTAATTTTGTAAACTCATCAATTCACACAAAAAGAAATTAATAACAACGCCAGTTGAACATAATAATAACGCGCACCAGTCGAGCACCGGCTTACTGTAACTTCTGCCATTGTGTTGATACGTCGAAAAATAATTTTCGACTCGACAGTGAGGTAGAAAATACAATAGTATATTCACTATGGGTATACAAAGTACCGGCTTTTTATTCTAATTGTTTTTTTTTCTGTCGCCATTAGCATATGAGATTGCGCTTTTCTTCAGCATGTATATTGCAGTCGTCATTGTCTCTCTGCAAAATTTCAAAATCACTGGAGTCATGAAGCTTTTCCGCGGCGTCCTCTATGCTTAATTCCAAGTCATCCTTTGCCGATGCCATATTTTTCATTTCTATCAGCGTTAGACTGCACGTGGGTGTCATTAATTTGGATTCACTGCCATCGCCAGCTTCGCGTTTTGTCTGTACTTTATCCGACGGCTCGTTGTTTACATGCATCTCGACAATCGCTTCCACGACGTTATTGTCTTGATGCTTTTTCGAATAATTCAGATTTTCTTTTTTCTCTTTCTCGTCGCTGAGATTTGCTGCCACTTCGGCTTCTTTGATCGCCGAGTGAATCACAGGTTCTGCCCACAAACCAGGATTAAATGCTGGACCTGTGCCACCAAGCTCTGCTGGTAAGATGTCCAGGGGTAAATGTTGATGTAATGTACTGAGATTATTGCCGTGAAGGTATATCTGAAAAGATTACATTGATGATGAAAGACTTTGAATCGCAAATAATGACGCTCTATCTTGATCAGCGACATTCGGTTACATTGAAACAATAATGCTCAATGAAACGTGAATGTCGAATGGCTCGTTTACTATGCAAAGACACAAATTGAGCCTAACAGTCTTCGGAGGATCTTCTCATGAATATATACTGAATAAAGCAAAAGAAACTGAAAGCGAACCGGTCTCGGTCGAAAGATTAGATTGAATTGTAAAAGCTTCTTACGATGCTTTCTCAGCAATACCAATAAATAAGACGTACAAAGGGAAATCCTACTTTCGTTCGTCTATTTTTAAGATAATGACAACATCACGAAGCCAAACAAATACCTTCTTCCTGGTTTTTTCGTCAAGGAAGGGCTTGACTAGTGCTAAGGTCGCTTGAACGTAGAGGGGCGGGGATAGGAAGTGAATTGCCTTGAATCTGGCTGGGAATCGGCCGCGTAGAGCGGATATTAAATTTCGAACTGCAGCCGCCCCAAGAGCTCCTCCTTGCCGCAATGAAAATCCGCTCCAGTCGACCACGCACACGAAACCTGATTGCTGCCAGACAAAAAATAAAATTGAGTGTTATAAAAGATCGTATATCATTATACTTTTTTTAACACGTCTTTGCAAAAACCGAGGAATGCCGTCTTTTATCCTTATAACTTTCTTTCTCGCGTCAACTTGAAATACTCTTTAGACATTCAAGAATACGTATTTTACCTGATTTCGTGGATCTTGAATTAACGTCTCTAACACTAAGAATATAGCTCTTTGAACGATTAACGCTGGAATAGTAATAGGGTCCCACTGCGAGGCTAATATAATTAACACACATCGTCCTTTCCTGAAAAATACCATTTTGCTTATATAATGTTGAATCAATATTTCCTACACAATTTTCATAAAATCTTTCAAGTTTTTATGTTTTTATTAACTTCTCTGTCGAGAGCTTTCGCGCGAAAGCTTTACTTTATCTATTAGTACAATGGCAAAGATAACAAGGCAAGTATTGATTATTTGAAAATCTAGGTAGATACGAGTTTTACGAACGAAACTCATTGTTTTTTCACAAAGAGTAATTGCACGCAATATTTTTTTAGCTCGCGCTCGGTGGGTCAAATTTAACAATCGGCAAAATCAACAATAAAGACACTCCGCAAGTATTTACCGTAAGCGTCTTTTCCGTGGAAACGATTAGCCTTATGACTGTGCGCGTTGCGTTTTTTTTTTATCATCACGAAACCATCTGAAATTTAAAGCGCTCCGCGAGGGAAACAAAAAATCAGGAATCAGAGCGTGTCGCTCGGCAACTTTCTAACGAAACGGCTTTTCAAGGCCTCACGTGTGTTAGATCAATTGAAAAAAGAAAGATTACCTGTCACGCGCGGGAAGAACACCTGGAATGCCAGCCCTGAGCGCTCGTTGTAGCTTCGGGTCTCGTGCTGTAAGATTGCCAAATATGTCTTGTCGATGAGCGATCTGCGCCTGGTACGCTGCTATCAGCTGCGCCGCCTGCTCTGTCCTGTACTTCCGAGCCAGCAGGAAACGCGTGATATACTCGTCCGTGCAATCGTTCAACTCTGTACGAACAATAATTTCTTAATGAAGGCAGACGCGCTTTAGTTAGCTTTATTATTCCACGCGCGGATTTTCAACGATGCCCCCTTATTTCTTTTTTCTTTATCGACGAATTGAAAGAAGAAAAAAATTGTTTTCCAAGTCATTCGTTTCCACGAAAGCCACCTTGTTAAACAATGACATTCCTCGGAATTCAATCAACTATTTTAAAATTATGCGAGAGGAATTCTCTTCATTGACAAGCGCGTGGATGAAATAATAAAAAAAAACATTTGCAAACAATTATAATGCACATGTTTCAAGAATATCTGTCTTATTTCTTATCCATATGTCCGACATTACCTGACATTAGTGCATGTTCAATCGAGTTTATTGATAAAGAACATCTGATTGCAAGTTTTATTTATGTATTTTGTTTGACTTGAATTTGTCGGTCATTGCCAGTTTATCTATTACAAGGAAACATTTCTAATTACTATTTTTACTCTTTATTCTGCTGCTATAATTCTAAATTTATTTATCACTAATGCATTTTCCGGTTTCGCGATCAGACATATATATTTTTATAATTGAACACATTTTAACAAAGAGTGTCACAGTTATAAATTCTTTTCACAATAAAGTTATTGTTTCATTTCTCACTATAAAAACCTGTTCTCCCATACATTTGTCGCTTGGACAAAATGTCTATTGTTATATTAATCATAGAAAATAACGAGGTTTTTGTGCTCTCTCAATGGGTATTGAGAGAAAAAAGCAAACACTTACGTCGTAGAAAGGACTGCTTTTTTAATTTCAGCAAGGACAAGACGAATCTCACAATACATGTCGTTAAACCAACTCAAACTATACGATTCTAGAAAGTAAATTACGTTGTATTGCATTTTTCGATGACGATATGTTTTTATAAAACTGCACGTACAAAAATGAATAACCCGCAGAAGAAAAAAGAAAGTACAGTCGGCGCATTGCACAAAAGAAATCATTCAATTGTAAAATCCTGAATCACCATCGCATCGAAAGAGAAAACATCGCACATTCTGTCAACAGAGTTTTGCAGTCACAGTAAACTCGATGTGAAGAAAAAAGTAAAGAAGCAAGCAAAATTCCGGCAATTGTGAAAATTACTCACCAACGCCAGGCATGTCTCGTAGAATCGCTCTGACAGTCTTGATGGCCAATTTCCGATCGCGTATATTGAACCTCGCTTCGTCCTGATAAATACTCCTTGCTAGTGCAAGATTCGCGTGTCCTCTTGTTGGGTCCCACATGTATTCACAGTACTCAGCCATTGTGTAGCGCTAATTATTTTTTATTTCGACAATTGCAGCCGAAGCCTAAGAAGACAACTCAACGAAGAAGATGATGAAAGAGCAGGAGCAGTTGCCAGTTACGCTGGGTGAGCATCGTCCTCGAGCGACAGCGGCGAGTGACTCACGAGTACCACAGCGGAGCGATGAAGAAGGAAACGGCGGCGGCTCAATGTGCGGCGGCCAGGTCGTTGTTCCCCTACCTGGAAACCAAAGCAATTTACCGTTACGTCAAAACGCCTCGCGCCTCACTGTCTCTCTCTTGTTCCTTTGCTTTGTTTCACCAAACGGGTATCTTATTTAGCGACAACAGACGTGACGAGCTCTCATTTTTTTCCTATCGATGGAGAAGGATTCTAAAATGTTTTCGAGTTTTGTAATTTCTCGCTGAGATGATTAAAGTAGGTTCTTTTTTTAGACGCTAGACAGAATTTTGTTATACATAACAGAAGAAAGAAAGGCTTGACTCCCGATCGCAATTTAATCGACTTGTTAAATATTGATTCATTATTCGTACGTATGAAAGTAAAATGAAATTTTTGCAAAGTGATCTAAACGTAATTTGACGAATATCGACGCGTATTTATGGCTGACCAAACACGGCTGTTTCCACTTGCCCTGCTCGTTTCGTTTCGATTGAAAGTTCTTTTGCATGTGGAAGAAGAAACACCAATATAAAGCACATCTACCATCCACATCGACTGGAATATCAAAAGAAAATAAAAAATACGATAGCTAACTAAGTAAACATTAACATTTGATTTAATTCTTTTCTATCTTCTCCGAAGTACATCTCATTTTGTCAATCTGAATATATAATTTTCTATAATAACTCAGACATTTCGATCGTCTTTTTTTTATCCCTTACATATGAAATCACCAGCTCACTTTATCACGTTACATTCAAACGTCAAGAAATCAAAATTAGCCGATATCAAGCAGTGCCCGAATTTTCAAAGCATTAGAAGCATCGGATAAAATACTTTGTACGAAAGATCTCGAAAAACTAGTGCAATGTTTCACGTGTTACGTATAAGATCATCGAACAACACACCACGGCGCGAGCATACAGTTTGCGAAAAGTGAAAGTTACAAACCGACGGAGGCACATAAAAGATACCAATATTACATTCGCCTTCGAATTCTTTATTTAATTAGTTTCAGCAGCTCGGACAGTGGCAGCAAACGACTTGCAGTTTATTGTCTCTTTATATAGCTACTCATTTCCCTTTTCACCTGTTTCACTGTGAACCACATCGCTGTGAGTGATTGCCTTCGAAATTCAATTCAAACATTTACAATGCGGGCAATTAAAGAGAGGAAAATAACTGTGAAAATTTGCATTTTTTCTTGGATTTTTTTTTTAACTTACTATTTGAAAATTATTATAGAGCAACGTTGTTCCAAAGACATTTCTTTTTTTTTAAGCAAGCAGACGCTAAATATAGCGATAACTAGTACAATGCGCAGACTTATAGTGTTACTCAAACGGTAGAGAGCTTCGACGAGCTGATTAGCACATGCACACATAGGTAACTCGAAGCAAAAAACAGAGCATTACGTGCCTAAACAATGGAATATAAAAAGCGCGCGAGTATCGATATGCTCCTATAAACTATCGAATTGCAATAAGAAAGGAAAGAAAATTATCTTGATTGTCGTAAATTCGCGGAATGAACGTGAACTGCCAAATAAAAGCAACTGGAAAAGTGAAATAAAAAAAATGGAAGAGACAATGATGACGGTACGTGCAGCGACGCAGCGGATTAAGAGTTGGCGACAAGAAACGAATAAAGGATGTCGAGAGGTTGAGAAAGGAGAGTGCGTGCGAGGGAAGGCGCTGACTCATAGCACCGATCAAGAATCGTGTAAACGGAGTCGCTCGCTCAGCAGCAGTGAACGGCGCCGATTCGCGCCGGTTTCAGAGAGACACGGAGAGAGAAAAACTGGCCGAGCGTGTCCGATCCATCCGAGCAGAATAGACAACTTTCCAGTATCTATACCTCGACCGATTGTTCTGCGTTATTAACTAGGCAATTTTCGGACGATGTTATACGATACACCTTGTACGCGATGTCATGCTGCTTTTATTCTATTTTTTTTTTTCGCTAATGATGCAAATAACGTATAGGTGCTCTCGATGTGAATAGCTCTGCGTGGGAAGAGGGTAGGTGTCTAACAAATTTTATTATCTACGATAAATAGCGTCAAGATTTGAATTATTGTGACACTATGGAACTGAACTCACTTCAGTGATGCGTAGGTTGGCATTCAAAGTGCAATTCATAAAAATTGAAAGCTCAACATTTGAATAATATTCGAAACAACACTTCTTTCAAACTGCATGATATAACAGAAAAAAAAGCAATGTTGTAAAAGATGTTGAAATTCTCCTGTATATCCTGTATAACAACTACAAAATGTATAGGTTAAACTGAATTGTGAATTTTATCTCTACATATATGTTGTAATAGCTCCAGTAAAATTTTAATCCATTGTGAAATTTGATAGAATCAAAATTTCTGTTACGGTTTTCGACATTTATTACAATCAGTCCCTCAAGTAAAACATTGATAACTTGATCAGTTTCGTAATTATTTTCGCAAAAAATTTTTTTTTGACCATTCTTCAGTATTTTATTGCATACTAATTAAACAAAAATTTATGAAGTTAAATAAACGCAAAATAATAAATAGGAAACCATTTCTTCGGAACAATGATTATTAATCTACAAAGCAACCGAGATCTGACAAACCACGAGACAATGGAAACCTGATTATGTCGTTGAACCTTTCATCGTGTCATACACACAAAAAACAGAGATGAATCTGATGAAAAAGTCTAGATCGACGTGTGGTCGCACCTTTTCCGCGCTCATTTACGTTTGGATAACCTTGAAGAGTGAGCGCTTTTGTTCATCGACAAACAAAATGACTGCTTGTTCAACTAAAATACATTGTGAAAATTCGAATGGCGCGTTTTTACAGACATTATTTTTATTTACTTTTGTTCTTTGAAAACAACCAAGGGACGCACAGCAAAACTTATAGTAATGAAAAAAGAACAATAAAATAATGATTGTTAACGATCGCGACGTTTTTGTTCTAAAACAAACACGAAACTGTGTGTATGCTTTTCCATTGCTATATCTGTAAAACGCTAAAACGGAAATCATTAAAGTGTTCGTACCGATAGAATACACAGCGTACCACTAAACTATCGCGAATTTGCATTTTAGAACGTCATGAAAATCGAGTCTCTCTTTTTTTTCAAATCTCTCATGACTTCCAAATAATGTCACTTTGTCAACATTTATGAATAATTAACATTCGATCGGAATTTAGTACCAAATCTTAAAAAAAATGAACAATTCATAAAAAAAAAAAAAGACAGCAAAAGAGCAGCCCGCATAACAACTCACGGACTAACCTCGTTGGACTGCGCGTATATTATTTTTTCTTTTTATGTCTCAAACTCACAAATTGTTCTAGTGACGACGACGTAGTTGCATAACGATTATTATTCCCAGCGCATCCTCATTACTTATCCAGCTAATAAGTCATAGGTACCGAATGCTTTTTATGTTTTCCTTGCAATTGTGAGAGGGAGAGAGAGAGAGAGAGAGAGAGAAAATATAGCCTTGCACATATCGGCTGCAGAAAGTAAAATCGCTGATGTACAAACTCGCGCGGGAATCTCGTCACCTTGAAACGTCGGATAAGGCTGAAAGCTAATCCTCTGGTAGCACGCTATGTAAATGTAGTCGGATGACCTTCGATTTTTATATACCCTTCCGATCAAGACGTATAAGGGATCACTTTGGTATATACAACTATACGGCACCACACATGCGAAGCAAGACAGACGGATGTATAAATGCGCGCGGCAAAGCTGACGCCAGCCGACTGACTACTCGCTTATACTTTCAGGTATAGGCTCCGGCTTCGCACGCTCACTCGTACTCGCTTCGCACAACACCGCACGCACAAATTCAGCGGCGATACGATTTCTCCGCGACCGCGCGCACTCACGTTTTACCCGATATTACGCCGACACCCCCTCAACTTACTCTCAAAACTCCGATACGCACCGAACAGAGATAAGTAACGTGCGTTGTTGTATGCAGGTCTGCGGGGCCGTTACCATGGCAGACACGGCGCGCTCTCTTTTGTGGTCGTCGACAGGAAATATATATACCGTACACCCGCCTGTGTGCCGCATCCTGCACATGGATCTATACCGTGACTTCTTTCACAATGTAATAGTCGTCGATTGTCGATGACTTATCTTGTGCGTCGATCTATTATTTTCAGGGACACGCACCCTTTGCAAAGTTACAAAGAAATGGAGAAAAAAAATTTGGAGCTTTGTGGAATGTGGTAAATGTTGAACCGGTTTGCCACTACACAGTGCTATCTACACAAAAAAAAAAACGATTGGTCGACTTGTTCGGGTAATTACCTACTGGCATGCACGTAATTGTACACACGATAGAGGATTTTATAAGTTTCACGATGAGGATATGTCAGTGAGAACGTAAGGTTGCTTGTAAATACAAAAAATTTCCATTTCACGACGAATAGTTTATATTTGTCAACTAGCAATTTGAAATAAAATAATATAGGTATAATATGGCGCACAAGTAGTAATTTGTCTGCGAATATTACTCGTTAAAATAACATTTTTGAAATAAGAGCTATTTATCATTGTTGTTTTGACGATTTTTATTGGCTTACTTATCGAACCGATGAACTATTGAACCCGATAACAAAAAAAATTTGTTTTAAAATCAAATTCTCTTGATCGACTAGAAAAGACACGCCATTTATTCTTGAAACAAAATTAAATGGTTTCGTATGGATATAGACAATAAATAGACACGATTAATCAATTACTTGTATTTCGAAGTATTGCAAAAGGGGGGTCAACAATAATCTCATAAATAGCTCAAAAGAAAAAAGAACAGTCAGTTCGCCTCAATCACCCGTGCACGATATTGAATTTCAAAAGATAAAGAAAAGGAACGCTGGATATCAAGTTTAACAAACACCGATAAGTCAGCGGCATCGATCTCGACTTGCAAGTTCTATAGTCGTAAGCAAGAGGTCGCCAGCGTTTGAAGCTTGCGCGTTTCAATGCTCGTATTTGTATACATATAACAATATAACACGTCTACACGTGCGTAAGGTGGAGACGACAGCATCGCAGCTGATGTACCAAATGAGTGAGAGAGAGAGAGAGAGAGGGAGAAAGAGTGAGACGCACCTCAGCGCCACGCCAGGACGCGTCGTCCTATCAACACCAAAGCCAAGTTCATCCTGTCATCGTCTCATTTAGTTGACAAACAAATATAAAAAATTCGCTTGTTTCATAAAAATTGTATTGTCATTCTGGTTCTACGGAGGCGTGTTCCCAATACGCATTAGACGGAAGTGGCACCGTTTGTAAGTAAGTACACTGTAGTCTGCTGCTGTTGCAATGTGCCACGCGAGAGATAACGCACCGCGGACACACGATATCGTTTTATTAACCAGCATGTCATCGTCGGCGCGACGCGATTGTAAAGGTCCGGCTCGCGCTGCATACACGTCGACGGATCGTCCGGCAAGTTAGCTTCTTCAATTTTTATTTTTTCGTTGATCGCGATCTCGCCGTCGCTGGCGACTTTGACCTTCTGGCCCCAACCAGCAACGTTGTCTGCCACCCCCACTTCGCGGCCTTTTTTCGTGTCGGACCCGTTAATGAATTGTCGTGTAAAGCTCTTCGACGCGTCAGTCTGCTTGAGGATCTTCTGCGAGCGAGTTTTTAGAAACCGCTCGGTGCTCCGTGGTGAGTAACATTGTTTTTTCGATAGCGCCGTGAAATATTTTTAAAATTTATTTATATAATACGGTAAAAAACGCTAAAGAATGAAGCAAAGAAAAATTATTACATTTATTTTATTTCCTGGTAGATTTTTAATATTTCTATGGTGCAATTATTTTATTTTGATATAATTTTTTTTTCGATCGATATTTGAAGCGAAATGTTACTGCAGTGTGTGTTCAAATGAAACCGGAAAGTACCGTTATTATAGGTAACGCGGTGCATCGGTGTATTAAGTGCAGTTTAGTAACTTTCCGCTTCACTCATGTGTTCACAATGTTTTGTAAGCTGAATTTTATGATTTATTTAATAGTCACATTTATTAAATTTATATTTGATTGTTTACAGTAGTATAGTAGTGTTGCATAGTCATGATGGTTTGCATATGTTTGATATGTGAAACTCTTCTAATAATCTTCGATTAACCTCGATAATATAATATCTAAAGTCGATCAATAGCCGAGACTAGGAACAAAAATAAATATCAGATTAAAACACACTTTATCAAGATTTTATCATGTTAACAATTTCCTTGTCCGTCGAAAGTTCGTTTTGTCACGCCAGGAATCAATGATTTGTATATTATTATCACCTCGTGCTCATAAGCAGAGCTTTAATCTACGAATGATGAAAAATTTACTATTTAAATTATCTTGTAAATAATTTTCTTATTTCGACGCACACGAAATATTTTGAGTTAAGTATTTGAACATATAGAGGAAACAGGCCATATTATACCATTGAATATTTGCAGAGGACGTCATTCCTCATCTCATACTAAGTAGCTTTTTTCATACTTAACCGTCGATGAAAACACAGTTTTTTGTATGTACTCGGTTGTGCGAGCCGAGTAATTGACAGTTTTTTTGCATTCTATTTACGTCTGTGGCTTCTCATTGTCGCACCCGTTTGCATCGACACGCAACTTGAACAAGGATAAACTTCATTTAAAATGCTAGTCATGATCCCCGCTAATAAAGGAGTACATTAAAAGAATTTCTATCAATTAATGCTAACAGACTTTATGTGTTAGGACTCATATTTTATTCATAGCATCAAGATCATTGAATTAGTATTAAATCATTCTTCACTATAGTACATCATCGTTTCAAAATTTCATATTGTTCGAATGTTGATTTTGCAATTAATTTTGTATTAAAAAATTTTTGGATTTATTTGTCAAGGACTAATTTTGAATTTGAATGAATTTTTATTGGAATATAATGAGTTGCAGCTTGCATTTAAGTAGGCGAAGACGTTTCGTTTCTCTTGTTCTCGCGTGTACTATATTTAGCAATCAGCGATTCTTTGATTGACAGAACTAACGAGACTATAAACTCAATCGCTTGCGGCGATTTTTATTTCTTCAGTCGCCGAGGTCAATGTCCTTTGGATTGTAATAATTTTTTTATGCCTTCGAAAGTATCTTCAAAAACCACAAACATCTGGTAAATGTGTATTATTTAAGTTATTTTTTGAAGACCTTCATTGCATAAATTATCGATTCATTATCATTTATGCTATCTACAGCAATTATAGCTTTGTACGCCAGACATCATTGAACGAAAAAAATTACAGCATATGGGGATAAAGATAAGAAAATCTTGTTATTATCAGACTGATGCTTCATCCGAATCCACTGTCAATGATTTTTTGTTGCTTTGGTTTTACAGTTTTTCATTCAAATGATTGTTAGTATCAACATTGATAACATAATGTATGTGAGCACTATTTTACACATTATTAAAACTGCTCATATCTTTAAATCTATATGAAACTATAATAACCTGTTCACATAAAGTTCGATTGTCATTTCATAAAACAAAGCTCATTAATTTTTATTTTTTTATAAAATATATGAAATCTGTTAAGTTGTTAATAAAATTAAGAATATACGTCCACCTTTAATACTGAAAATAATATTATCCGTCTGATCGAATTATTTCGATGAATCATCAGATCCGCGTGTTATTTTTCCACTGCATCTTAACACAAACCTGGAAGATTTTCAAGAACCGGTTCTTGTCAATGAACCTTCCTGTGATACTGATCGGAAATTACCATTTCAACGTAAACAAATAATAGAAATGACTATAATTTGACAGAAACGATCTCCATTCGTTTTTTATCGAGTGTTTTGTTATTTCAATTTATAAATTTAAAAATCAGAAGATAATTACGGGTATAGAAGTGATCTTGACAATTTAATTCGCATTTTGCGCATACGGACGTTGAAATTACACATTTCGTAAATTACCTGTGATTTAATTATACGTATCAATCTTTGTTTGTTATTTCAGATTGAAAATGGCGATAGCAATGACTCTAACTCACATTGCCATCCTGGCATTGTACCTCTATACCGTCTATTGCACATTCTACGTGCTGGATATTCCATTTATTCGCGAGAGAGATAAAAAGTGGGATGTCGGCCAATTGAAATATCTCACAGTTTGGAATGTGGTACGTATATCTTTTGCAATTCGCATATTATATAATCGGGCAAATATGACGCATTCGAACCAATGGAAAGTCTATTTCGGCACTAATATGCGGAATTATTACTTGGTGCAATGCTTGACCTACATTTTCTCTCACGGCTTGATTCGTTAAACGAAATCCTTTTCATCTAAATGAAGCCTGTCAAATTGCGAATTTCGTCTTGTACGCCAGTGTTGATAAATAAGCGATAGATTCGCACGCTCCGTACTCGAAATGCATTTGCAACTGCAAAAAGAAAGATACGCTCGCGTAGAGCACGAAGAAGGGCTGCGCTCTAAACTCGATAAATCGAAATATCATGATAATAGTCACGAAAAGCTGTGTAGCGCGCTTACACAACCCGAGTATGCGGACTTCTGGCTATATGATCCGTAATTAATCTCGAAGAGAGACCGGCGACCACGACGTTTTGAGATGCTCGTCAGGCGAAATCACTCGGTAACATGGAAACACAGCCGTGCGTAGTCAAGCTTCCTTGTTGATGGTTCTTCTTCGTATAATATGTACGGCTGTGCACGTTTTTAGCCCCGAGCACCATCGATTCTATGAACTTACGTATGGATTGAACGTCCAAGCATTTCACTTGGGTTCACGTGCACTCTATGAGTTGTGCAACATGCGCGACACGGCGTGGAGTACAAACTTCGAATAATTTCCTTCAGTCTCTCCTCTCTCTCTCTCTCTCTCTCTCTCTCTCTCTCTCTCTCTCTCTCTCACTCTCCCTTTAATCCAGAAAACCATATGGCGTTTGCGGATATGAGGAAACAAATACGATGACTGAATTATTTTTTAGTTAACGGAAGCGTGCGACTGTTCATCCCGTATGCAAATTAGAAATGACGATTAATGGGACAAACGCATAATGTTTTCATTTTAATAGTGGATATGAGTGATCTTGGAAACGACGCTGACGTGGATAAAGACGTCATTGAATGAAATTGCCGGTATCGACGTGGTTCTAATAAAGTTCGACTGTTTTGGCGCAGAGCGGAAGTGAATTAATTATCCTGCGCAAATAAAACCAACAATCCCGTGCAATCATCGGCAGATAAAAATAATTAGACAAGCGGCGCCGTAAACATGCGTAACGCGCCAAAGCAGATAAAAAGTAGCAAACATTCGTCGTCGTCGCATCTTAAAAAACGCGCGAAGCGTGGAGACGAGTAGTATAACGACGACGGCTCACTTCTTTCGAAATGCGCGCGCGCGTTCGCGTTGCGTTATCTCTCTCTCTCTCTCTCTCTCTCTCTCTCTCTCTCTCTCTCTCTCTCTTTCTTTCTCTCTGGCGAGAAGAGATACTACGAAAGAGTGTAAGTAGCTTCTACTCTCTCGTAGCGGACCATAATGCTTTCTAACGTGCCCGCGTTTTTTTTTTTTTTTTTTGTCGCCAAGACGACAAAATACGACACTGGCGCAACGCAGCAGCGACACCGGACCCATTGACTTTTGCGCAAGCCCGCGAAGAAATATTTGTCGTCTCGGTGTTTGTTGTCTTATTCCTTTGTGGACAAAATTGGGTCACCGACTCGTCCCGATGGCAGACACTATTCTTTGTTAAAGATTAGTCGTGGTGTTCGGATTTTTAAGCAAGTCCGACGCGCTTCTTCTCGACGAGTAAATTTTTTGCTCGAGCCGTAAGTCGCCAAGGGTGAAATAGAATTTCGTAACGACAGCGACAAAGCACGCGAGGTTTTTTATCCGGTGGCATCAAATTTGCAAATCAATTCTAAATTTCTAAAAGTTCGCAATTCGATTACTTCAAATCAATTATGCGTGAGAAATTATTTATCTAACTTCGGATAAACCAGTTGTGAGGTTAGGATGCGTATCTATTTTAAGATAAGCTTATGTTTTGTACAAATGGTATCAAAGATAGACAAAATCATCAGTTATTTAATGAAATAACTGATATGCATTTTCCGGTAATTCATTCGGGTGCTCTAAAAAGGTTATCTGTGCAGACAAGATATGTTGTGAAAAAAGGGCTTTAGGCACAGTATCAACTTCAAACAAAGCTAGCGAAATATGAAATTTCGAGCTGACCGATCGAAAGCTACTGCTGCTGTTGCATTGAAAGAAGCCGCCAAACTATTACAACAGCACGCGTCGAGTCGCAGTTACATAAGGTACTTCGAATCTCGATAGCACAATTCAGTTGTCGGGGAATTTCAAAAAACTAAGCCTGAGAGCGGCGCAAAAGCTATGCAAACACAAAAGCCAGCAGGCGCATAGCAGTCATAGCGCGCGAGTAAAAGTGCGCGTAGGTACGGACGCGATGGCGCGCAGGCTGCATTGCGCTGCACGTGGCTGCAACGAGAGTCGCGAGAGCCGAGCGCGCGTCGCGACTCGCGACTCAGTTTCGCGACGGTGGCCGTAGCAGCAGCAGCAGCAACAGCAGCAGGCCATTCACGCGTGCGCCCTATACTACTGTGAACGCCCTCCGACACGGGTCGCTGACAAACCGATCGCGCGCGCGCGCGCGCGCCTGTCACGTGATCGATGTCGAGCTGCTACATAACCGTACCACCTGCGCGTGTATAGCGAGCAGTTAATCGCCGTGCCGGCAAACGCAAAAGCATACCTATTCGCCTCTCTTGCAGGGCTAAAATTAGATTGCCAGCAGCTCGCGAGCCGAGTGACCCTTGGAGTGTGAGCAAGATTGACCTTTTTTTTTCTTTTTTTTTTGGTGCGGTACCGCGGCCTGGCTTTTTCCTTTCATCGGAGCCCGTTTTGCGCGACATTGAAGTTGAAGCGAACAGGCACTGTGTGGTTTTATTATTAGATGCAGTGAGGAATGCGTCGCGTGCCCGCGCGAGATGAATGACGGATAGAGAGCGGCGAGTTTTATATGTGGCAAGTCTCATGAAACGAGCCCACTGCGTACAAGTGACAATTCGAGCGCGATCGTCCGTGTGTTACACACGAAAATAATAATGTCGAGCACATATCGCGCGATCGATTCTCGTGTACTCGGAAAAAACCTCAACGCGGGCCACGTGTACGTCTGTTTGTTGACGATTTATTTTTAATTATTCAAAATTCAACTCCTTTCTTTTCAACTACCGTTCGACGAATAGAACAGCGCTGCGCGAGAGACGACTCTGTCCCCTGTATTTTTAATCGCTTTCGTGCTATATGCCAAGAATAAGCTGCGTAGGAGAACCTTATCGCGTGTAATTAGATACATTTTCTCACACGCAGACAAGGCAAATTTATTCTATAAAATATGCAACGCTGCATAATCTCATAATTAAGTACTATCGAACAGTGTTACTGATGTATTTGAATTAATTTATTGCAACGAGTTTCAAAGTAGAGCAAGTGGATATTATTTGTTTGCAGAAGAAATAAATTCTTGATTCATTGCAGAATTTTGAAAAATATCGAGGTCCACGAAGCGTCAATAATTTACAGAAAATTGACATAACTTCGGAGCGCGTTGATTAATTCATGCAAGCGCTATTGATTGTCTCGATTAAGGTCGCTAATTAAAGTTGGCAACGAGTTTTCGACGAATTGAAGCTCGCGACACGTCGAACACAAGTACGAAGGAAAATACTTTTCGAGTTGGAGGGGGCCATCGGGGGAAATTGTCGGTTCCGTTGCATTATGGTAAGAACGTCCGCGCAATAATCTTGCAACGCGCATGTAGGCGCGCGCGATGTCGTAAAGAAAGCAGAAACGCACATGTAAAAGTTGTACGAGCCGATAGAAAATTACGTACGTTACCTAAGCGTATAATTCGCGACGCCAATAAACTACTGCTGACCTTTGAGCACACGTAGAAAAAAGCCATCGAGTGTATTTTTATTTCGCTCCAAATTGCCGACTTGGGCGCGCGTCCTCTCTCTCTCTCTCTCTGTCTGTCTCGTAATTCGTAATTCGTAATCGCCGTGCTCAGATAATGCACGTTCGATTGATATTTTCCACGTGCGTGTGTTTGTACAAGAGACCTTGACGCGCGCACTCGTACGTGGAATGTATATGTGTCGTTCAATGAGCCCAACGATTGCGGGATCCGCGAGGTGCAATTAGCCGCCGAGCGCAGTCGACTTTGTAATTTGAGGCGTTTGCGCGCGCGTTCGAGTCGCCCTTTGGAGATGCACGCTTCGATGAAACGAACGAGCCATGCGTCGCGTCGACGACAGCCGCATCCATTGAGCGGGCGCCGCTTCATCAGTGGAATACGAAATTTTAGTGTCAATGTGAAGTTAGACGCGCGTGAGAAAGACGTTCGAACGACCGTGCAAAGAGTGCCATATCAACGAGAGACGTCGACATGAAGGACAACGTTCTAGCCTTGTTTCACGCAGCCACGTTTGCGGCCTTTGGGTTTTCGGTCTACTACGACCTGTTCTATACTCACGTACCACCGGAGGTGGGAAGAGTTCACAACGCATACGCTGGCAAATTCAAATTTCTGACTTTTTGGGATGCGGTTCGTATAATTCAGCTTGCAATTCGACAAGAACCGGCATGCCTTCTCGCATCCGTTGCCACTGGTTTTTTCGTTCTTTGCTTTTCGAAGAGAAGCGCGCGTAATGGCCCCAATTTTGTCTCAATTGCCCACCGTGCGTACGCGGCGTCTCGGCGCTGCCGCGCGTTACAGTAGCTCGATGCAGCAGCCTTCCGCGTTGCATAAGCGCGAAACCCGTATATAAAGGTCTCCCTAACTTTCGAACAAGAATTAGACAGCGATACAGCCGAGTAATTACCGTATGACATAAGTCGCGCGTTCTCGCCGGCGATCTTACGGCGGCTCTCTCGAAAGCCGTACGTGCGCCGACGGCTTTTACCGGCGCTGCCGCGCGCTGTAATAATTTCACCTGTCCGCCCGGTCGCGTTGCAGCTTGTTCTCGCTCTCTGACTACGGCGCTTTTCCGCTTACGCGCGGACTTGCCGCCGCCGCAAGGGCGTGCCTTCTTTTCTCGTCGTCTTGCACGATCGTCACTCGTGTCGTACCAACTTTCCGATGTCCACGTGGCTTCTACGAGTATAGTTTCAAAGCCAAAGTAGGTTCGGAACGAAGTCGATGAAGCTTATAGCCGGCTGTTTACGCGACTGTTCTGCAAGGCAATATTAATGAAGAAGGCTTTGCTGATAATGCTTGTTCTCTTTCTCTGTTCGACAGATCGCACAAACGTTCTTCTTCTTCGTGTGTCTTCTCAACGATATCTTCGGCACGAACAGCCTCACGTCCAAGAAGAGGCCGTTCATTCGTAGATTCAAGGATTTTTACCACGCTGCGATTGGTTTTCCAGTGTCGATGGTAATTACGAAAAAAAAAATGCATTTCATCGATTGTCGCGGTCAGCGTTAGCACTCGTTGCGGCACAGATATACCGCCTCGACCATCGCTCACGCAGTTATTGCCGAACTTCAAATTCACTTCCTCTCGAATAGTTTGTAGGATTGACGTTCTGGGGACTGATGTTCGTCGACCGCGAATTAGTTCTACCGAAGGCCTTGGATCCTTACTTCCCGTGGTGGCTAAATCACTTGATGCACACCTTGATCATGATAACCACTGTCTTGGAAATGTTGATAGCGCCACGAAACTATCCCAAACGTTCGAAGGGAATCGGTGGCTTGGCAGGATTTATGCTGACTTATTTGGCTTGGTAAGCTATATCATTTATATTTTCAACTTGCGGACAGCGATAAATTTACATATTTATCTCCTCAGGATGCACTTCGTGTACTACAAGAGCGGAGTGTGGGCTTATCCGGTGATAGATGTGCTTTCCGTGCCACTTAGAATTGTGTTCTACTTGGTGCTGTTGGTGTTCACGCTCGTCCTTTACTTCGCTGGCGAAGGTTTGGATCGGCTGATTTGGGGTGAATATCTTTCAAAGTTTAAAGACAAAAGTAGTTAACCGATCTTCATCGGTATAGATAAGGATCATTCATTTCACCACTACTTACTATCTCTCCATGTTCATTGTCTCACTAGTTTGTACATGGTTTTGGCAATTATATGTATATAGTATATCGATTTGTTGCACTTTCTCATTGATCGATTGTACATGTACATGTAGCGTAGTTTGCGAACACGTGGTGGCTTTTGCACATGACAAAACAGTAGATCCTCATATCTCGCGCAACTCATTTTCATTGGTGATTGTTGCAACGCGCACAGGGTATATTATAACGCTTTCGTGAGTTTCACACACATATATAGATATATATGTATCGACACACATGTGTATCAAACATCCATCGCACGTATCTCTCTAATGAACGAATGGTGCATCTTTTACCTCCGTCAATGTGCAATATATACAATTAGCACTTTTGCAAGTGGCTGTTAACTTTGAATATTACAAAATTAAATTGCTCAATAACTATAAAACAGTACCTCTCCCCTATGCTGGTAATATACAAGTTTTCTTGAGATACAATGTCGACATTAGTTTTCAATAAGGCGAAACTTAATTGAAATTAATTTATATATACGTGCATGGTTTTGCATTTTTTTTTGGTGATAACAAAACATACATCTACTGATAAGTGGTGAGAACTTTTTTTATTCAATCTCGTTGCGAGACTTAATCAAAGCTTCTTGTACGGAATGTAGGGAAAAGACATGTGGCCGAGGCTAGCGTGCCAGAACTGAAAGTATAAAGTAATTATGGAGATACATTTGCAACTACTTATATGGAGGATGTTCCGTGAATCTTCTCACCAAGACACGCACGAGATCAGCCATCCACACGATTATCAGAATCTAATTTTTTCTTTATCTTGAGTGCTTTAAGGGTAGAGTCATTTGTGACTAGACAATGCACCGCTTATCAATATTTTTTTTCGTTTTTTTTAAAACAAAAGTGCCAAACCACTTTACATTATAAGTCTGAAAAAAAACGTATCTGCCTTCTCAATCAATTCTGCCATCATTTGATTTCACTAAGTGTACACCGTTCTTTTTTCAACGAACATTGTCAAACTGAGAAAAATTTATATCCAATATTCTATTTAAAACTCGCTGATATAAATCTCTACCCTTGAATAATTGTCTCATGTGCATACACTCTTTGTATATATAACTAAGATAAATTTGTTATATATAGCTGTACATTTATGGTGTTTAGCACGACTTTGCAAATATTTAACTTTAATATATATCGTTCTGTTATATTTTGAAAGTTTAAAATAAGTTAAGTCGTAGACATTTTAGCATGCGCAAAATGCTCGAGAATGGAAAAAAAAAAAGCGATTTCATGCAACGCGAGTTCCTTTTATTGAATATTAAGTTGTTAATTAATAATAGTTAAAGTTTAAGGCATCGACTGTAGATTTAGAATTCGTGAGACTTAAATAATAAGTAGCAAATACGTACAAGTGTAAAACGTCACTTCGCTGAACGCCTGTAGAGTGTTGATGTACAATAAAATTGTTTATTTGTAAGATGTACAATGTAATAATAGATGTATTTTTTTTCTTTTTCATACCTATACTTTTATGCATGTACATACTTTTATCTATCGCTATTTTTTAATTTCTTGTTAACGGTACGCCGTATGTATATATTATAAAAATTTATTCACACGTGCTTGAAAATCTGTTTCTTAATTTTTCGATGCCGCATGCTCATCTCGTACCCATTTATTATGTACAAACTGTTCAATTGCACCTGACGTCGTTGTATTCATATCCACCAGATAATCATTAAATGATGCAGTACCTCCAGAATGGATTCTATTTTACTCAGTAGCACGCATCATGTTACATTTTATCCGATTACACCTGACTGGTCGACACGTTTTTGAATACACCGTTGGCAATGGAGCATCAACATTTATTTATATTGTTTACATCTTGTCATAAAGAGTTGTGCCATCCTATAGTGTTGATATAATCTGTTGAATCATGTGTATATTTTTTTATTATTTTTCAGGATCTAGTTCTTACTCTGTGGACAAGAGCAATAAGAAGAGAAAACAAAAGTGAACTTAAATCTAGGATATTATGATTAATCTAATTTTGTATATTCATCTAAAATGATAAAAGTGTGAATTCAATCTCGCATTGTGATGTCACTTAAATTCAGTTGATTATATATACTAGGAATTGTAACGAGAGTCTACTAAATGTACCTAATAATTCTTTTGTTCTTGATAAAATATTGCAGAAAATGAAATATTATTGCACTCGACAAAATGCTAGAGGTTATTGGAACCAATAATTGTGAGATTCAATTTATTTTTACATAATAATCTTCTCTAATACAAAGATATTCAAGATAAATTTCTATAGGTATTGCATTTATTCGCGTGCATTCGTGAATCAATCGATTTATTAAAGCCTTTCATAGGGAACTGATGCGTTTTATAGATTATTTTATTTATTATTTAGATATTTTATCTATTCAAATTTAGTCTTTGGTTAATTGTAATCAAAACTGCCTTATAGTCTAAACATTGCAAATGAATGTTTCAAATGTCTTGATCAAATACTCGTAGGCACTTTGTGATAGGCACAAATGAAATCTATTTGTTCAAGTCTTTATTAAATATGCGCAAGCCAATACATTGTCTAAAAATTTGTTGATAACGGAATTGTATTTTATTGTATTTCCATACTCAACTTTTTTGTTGATTTTTTTGTCAATATTTAACTTCTTTTTTTGTTTTAAGAATTATTACTCATAGTTCTGTATTTGATTCTCACTCATACCACATGTAGTACCGCAAATGAAAATACGTACATTTTGCAGTAATTAAAATATTTAAAAATAGCGATCGTATTTACTTCTCTTCAACTTATTTTGACACATTATAGTTCTATCTTACTGACATATATAATTTTTACGTTTCCACATTTAAAAAAAAATATATTTAATAATTCAAAATAATTGTAAATGGAAATGTTAAATATGTAATATTTTGTGAGGGAAAGAAATTCAAAACCACCGTAATTTACGATTTGTTCAATTATATTACAAAAATCTATATTATAAAAATGATACACATAAAGACACATGGATTTACAAAAAACTTTAGCTTTGTATTTTCGCTGTCCTTCGAACAGTTCATTTTTCCAAGTTTATTAATGAATGACAAAAAATGTTGACTTTGATTTTCAACAATTATTATCTAGAAATATTAGACTAAATAAATAATAACGTAAATTTTTAAGTAATTTTCCTTATTGAAATATAACATTAGATAACATATTTAGGTGGATTTATAAAATGAAGATCATTATACACTTGAGAAGCGTCAATTTCCGTTTGTCCTTGTACTGTATTGAGCTCTTGTCTAATACCCCCGAATACTATCAATTCTCCTCTCCCAAGAACTAAGGAATAAAGTATCCTCTCATCTGGTCCAGTTTCCTGATTATGTCTAATAGGAACCCAAGACGCAGAACACTCGTCACACAATACATTACTGATGTCCAGTATGTAGATGGCTAATGTACTTTCATTTTTCCTAGAAACTTTAGCTTGCGCTTTGCGGCTTTGAAGTCGTTCTTCAGCTCGTCGCAAAAATTCCAATTGTATTTGGCGTATAGCTGCTGAATTATTTCTAACTGGTTCATCTCTAAACGCAGCCATACTTAAATTGCTATCGTAAACTGGTACATTTGGTGAGTTAGATGTTGACGACGGCGCGTTTCGGAAAGCTGACCTTTGGAGATAACCCCGACGACCGTTCACATTTTCGTCTCGATCAATTTCGCGTAGAGATCGTTGTCTTAGAAAAACAAAAAACAATTTAAATTTATATTATTCCAAAAACATAATATACTATTGAAATATGAGAAATACTAAAAAACATACCTGTCTCGGGATAATGTTTGAGGATTGTTTGATGGATTTGCTGGCTTGCCCACAGATATACTCATTCCACTAGGTTGTGATTGTCTTTTTCTTTTACTTAGTACAATTATGTGATTCCCTACCTATTGAAAATAATAACAGTAACATTATAATCACTAATAAATCAGTGGCGAAATCTATGACTTAATTTTTTATTACTTTGCAAGCTTGATGACACCAGATTCGCGTTGGTGCAGCTTCTGTATGACGCATGTTGATTTTTTTCCAAGTCCAAATTGGGTCTTCTATTGTCAAAAGCCAAGCGTCATTCATAGCGACATTTGGACCAGTACACCCACCTATCGAAATTTTTTAGTTATAATTCACAAAATCATTGATTCCTAAGAAAGTAATGATTCCTCACCAAGAACTAATAGATGTTTATCATCTATTGGAATTTGTGATTGACCATACCGAGGTTGAGGTTTTAAATTAGACGTAACTTGTTTTTGCCAACAATAAGTATCCAAATTTAAGCGCCATACTTCGTTAGAACTGTACATAATAATATGAAATTTAAATGCATTGTTAATAAAGCAAGCAAATTTTATATATAATAATTTTATTACCTATATCCATTAACAACACCACCAAAAACAACCATAAGATTATCATGAATGGATGCGGAGTGAGCTGAGGTAGGAGGAGGAGTTTCTAGAGCATTAATGGCAATCCATCGATTAGATTCAATACAATAAACATGTAGTTCATTAAAGAGTTTCCATTGCTAAAAACATCATATGGTTATGATTTCATATGTATGTAATTTTATAGTTTTTGCTATAAAAATGACTTACTTGATGCAATGGATATGGAGAAGGATGTGACCACCCACCAAATAATATAAAATTTTTTTTATAATACAACATAGTGGCACAAGCTTTTGGAGATGGGTAGCTTCCCATAGTAGTTGGTCTTTCCCATTTTCGAGTATCAAGATCCAACTTCCATAAGTCATTGAATGTTGTGCTAGTTGCTGTACAACCACCAAAAACATACATAGAATTTTCATATGTACAAGCTGAATGCGAATGTCTTTTTGCTATTGTTTGTCCCCATGCTGCATCAGAATCAGAATTCCAAAATAATGATCCTAAGGCAATTGATTTTTGGAAGTGTGCTTTACTGTGTTCAATGACATCTTTGTAAAAAATAACTCATGATTAGATAACACGATATTGAATTGACAAAATAATATACTAGTGGTAGACTTACTTTTTGTTGCTTGAAACCATCTTTTTGAAACAAACATACATTCTTGTAAATCTTTGTAAGGTGGTATTAAGCTTAAAATATATTCCAAGATTTCATCTGGCAAATCATCAATTTTACGCTCCATTGTAAAATATTTTTTAATTTAAATAGACTAAACTGTTTGTCAACAACAAAAGGGAGAATTCCTTTTTCTAATATAATCTAATTTTCATTCTTTAAATAATTGTTGATTAATTGCATGTCTTCTGAACAGAGATGATGAACTTGATTGTAAGGTTAATATAATACTTAGATATCTTCTTAATGAACACCATATTCAGAAATATGAATTTTTGAAGTTATTTAACTTGTAAACATGTATAATGATGAACTTTAACAATTGTGTAGTTTGGATCCAAAAGTTGAATTGAATTAACCGAAAATAGGCAAAGAAATTGTTTACCGAATCACAAATGTCGCTTCTATGGTTGTAATAGTAATTTACAACTATGCTGTGTAAAAAAGTTATTGACAATACTATTATAAAACGTAGATGTAACTTATATTTTTTTAAGCATCAAACTTTGTTTTTAAAAAAGTACTGTAGTCGAGATTTGCTAATGCCGAAGTAAATTTTCTTTACCTATGTGCACTTTTCTCAAGTTTTTCACCAAAGCAATGCACTAACGCCGGAGGTGACCTATTCATCTCTGACAGCTGGCTCTGACGAGTGACGACTGGCACTGACGTAGTAAACAGCTGTACGCATGCGTAGAAAGCATCGGAATTTGAAAGAACGTGTTTAATAAACACCACATTTATTAGTCAACTATAAGACAATATTACAAAGTAACTCCATTTTACAATTACAACTGACACTATTGTGTTATTAATCGATGTATTCTGCTACTTCTTTTGCTCAAACTGTCAAGATTAATATATTAAATTTTATTTTATTTCGAAAGATGGCGTTGTACCATCCAATTTACAGCTACAGGCTGAAGGAAACAAAGGCTGTACAAAGTGATTGAATAAGTGCCGGTAAAGACAAGAAAAGATTCTATCGCAAAAGTCGAAATCATGATTGTGAGTGAAGAGGATGTAGAATCTATCAAGGATTGTCCAAATCTTATAAGTAAATATAGAACTCCAAAAATTTTTTGGTATCAGACAGATAATGCAGTTCACGTGCGAATCATGCTATCAAATGTTGAAAAGTATCGTATTAGTGTTGATTCTGACACATTCAAATTTACGTAAGTTAGCATATTATTCATTATTTGATATATATATGGAATTATTTTTTGTATTATACTAGAATTTATTCTACCTGTTAATTACACATACTTTTTACAGTACGGTAGTTGATGCGATTCCATATTTTCTTGGTTTGAAGTTATGTGGAACTGTCATTGCAGAGAAAACTTCTCATTTGATGCTTGGTCGAGAAGTCAAAGTATGCTTCATAAAAGCACATAAGTGTGAGTATAACATTACGTTTATATTACTGATTTCTATTCTATCAGTTACACAGATTTTATAAGCCTTCCTTGCATATTTTAGGGACAGATTGGCCCAGATTACAGTTAAGTAGAGTAAGAAATCCGCTGATAATTGTTGATCCAGATCATGTTGTTAAAAAGGATTGGAACAATCCATATGCTAGCTTTGATGGTCAGTTGGATTAATTTTAATTAACTATAATCGAAATTTATCTCAAAATTTAAGAGCTGTTTTTATTTTACAGAAAGAGAGACTTTTTCAGAGTATAGAAAGCGCATGGGTATTAGTAATGTTCCTCCACCCGAATCAACAGATGAGGATTCTGACTCTGACGATGAAAAAGTGCAAGCGTATGATTTATAACAATAACTATGAAGTGATTTGTTTTATATATAAATCAAAATCATTAGTTTCAAAGTGATTTATTTTCTATGTTAGAGAAATACTTGTAAATATCATTAGATTTTCTAAGTAGAAGCTTCAAATTTTGTACTCTTATATCATACAACAAATAAATGTTATTAATACGATATACTTGCATATTTTAAGATAAATTTGTGTTCTATAATAAAGTTAGTAGTGTGTTAAATTAAAACATTGCTTTCAGTTATTGAAGAAACACTTTATTATTGTGCCAACTAATTTAAAAGTAAAACAATATAAAATTACAATACTTAAATAAAATCGTAGTCGTGAGAGTGAAAAAGATTGTGTCAACCCTTCATTATGCATAATGCCATTGATACTATTCTAATAAATACAGGAGTAGAGTTAAAAAAATGCAAAGTTCAGAAAATCTTTACTTACTTTAAAAATCATATATTTTTAGTAAAGGTTGTACAAAGATTACCTTGAAAGAGCTATTATGGCATCATTGTTTCGGGAATGTATATTTCGCGTATTTTTTGTTCAGATGCACAGCATCATGTATTATGAAGCAAATCAAGATTCAAACAAAATTTACAACAAAATAACAGCTACATTTATATAATTACAATTATATGCTGTACACGTTGATAAATCAAATGTACACAATAAAACGAAGTAACAAAATGAAATATACAAATGTGCGAGACAGAAAGGATAAACGCGTAATTCTTTGTTCTCCTAACGTTAGGCAAGAAATCTACTTAGAATTTGTACATAAAGTATATATAACAGTATCCGCAGTTGGCGGAATTTCTTACGAATACTTTTACGTGAACACTTTGATTACAATGTTTGTTTTGATAGTGAATCATAACTATCTCGGGTTAATCGAGGATAATCGTTTTTGTCAAATGCGAGCAGCAGTAGTAACTTCGATATTTACATATATGAATTAACACTTTAACAACCCTCTAGCGAAAGTCTTTGATTGATATTTTCAACCCGAATTTTCATTTCTCTGAGGACATCCTCTGCGAGATCGTCGACATTCGTATATCTAACTTTGAAAAAGTTGAATATATCTTGTAAAAATTCGACTATTTGTTCTCGAAAGTAATAACATGTTGACCTAAGGCTACTTTCCGGTCCCAGAAAACCCCAAACTAGGACTGGAGTGACTTGTTCGGATATGGAGTAAAAATGCGCCATGAAGCCTCGCGGATATTTCAGCATTTGTCGTTTGCCCATCAGTACCGACCAAACAGCCGTACCAATCGCCTGTAAACAAAATATTGATTGACATTCACGTACGTGTTTATCCTTATTGTGTAATAATCCCATTCACTCACCGTTTCTCGAAAACTCGCGGAAATCCATCGATTCTGTAAAATAGCTTTGATAGACGACGGTGGCTTTTCGACCTCCTCGAAAGCGTCCAACAATATGAAATCAATGACCACGTCGTAAAAATTGATACACCTAACTCCCCTTATGCTAAGCTCCTCGTCCATAATATCCAGACTAGATTCTTCGGTAAGGAACTCAAGCATGCGCTCGTAATGAGTCAAGTATTCTTTGGGTTCCTGCAAACAAACGATTGCCACAATTAGCGCCGCGCACTGACAAGTGAGAATTAAATTTTAGTTTCCTCTTGTTGCTTCTTTACCCTGTCTGCGAAAATAATTAAATCGCTAATGAGCTGACGGCCAACGTCGGCGATCCACGTCGCTGCACTAGGCTGCCCGAACAGACGAGTGTAAGCTTGCCTAAGGCAGTGTACTTTCGCCAAGTACTCCACGTCCGAGCCGCACTTCACCAACTCCGTGTGTAATCGTCTGGAAAGAAAAGGATTGCAATTATAATCTCTGCAGAAGTCGACGCTTGGTAAGCTCAGCTAGCCATGTGCCAAATTAAAATGCATTCTCAACTAAAATAATAGATGTGATTACCACGTACTTTTCATTGCCGCTTCTGGTCATTCTGAAAAAAGCAAATTACGAAAATGGTTTGTAATGAGGTAACTCATTTAAAAATGGCTGCGAGCAATGTATGTGTATATTGTGTATACATGTACTTTAGGATAATTGAACTTGATACTTTGTTTTCAAACTTGGCTAGCTTCGCTTGTTTTAGTATAAAAAAAAACGGAACGTGTGTCACAAGTTTGTAATTTACTGTAATAGGACTTTTCATAGCAAGCATAAATTCAAAAGTTTCTATAATAAGCGAGAACCAATATAATTCTCTACATTAGATAAAGTAGATCAAGTTTATGTGCAAAAAATAAAGTTCCTTTACAAATAATAGAAAGCCGAATTCAACAAAGGAAATCAAGCTCAAACGAAACAATAATTTTTCAAACTACTTTTGGTGTGCTGTTTTATCGACATAACACATAGTCAATGAAGTGGCGCCAACTATTTACAAGTTCTATATAGCTAATAGCCAGTTACGCTACAACATCGAAAGCTACCGAAATTAGTTAATTAAGTATAGACTCTTTGAAGAAAAATTGTTTAAATCGTTGCAAATTCTAAAAGTTTTTACGCTATAAAAAATGTAGCAAACCTGCAAGGAATCCCATTATCTTCGTGTTGTTTCAACGCAGCATGATACAGCTTTTGTTGCTCAAAGTGTGGGAAAAACTCGGAAAACTCCTCGAATTCGCGCAGATCTGCAACCTGAAAAAACAATGTGACTTTGTAAAGGCGACTCTGAAAGATTCCAGAAAAATTCAAGCTTCGGATTGCATGGACGAATAACTGAAATACAACATACACCATCTTTTGCAGACGCGTAGGATTCGGGCGACGAGGCAGGATCATGTTTATCTCTGCTCATGGATAGTCGGGTTCCTAACGTGGATGGCCTGTGACTCTCTTCGCTATCGCTGTCATTTCGGAATAGTACCGAGTGCTGTGGAATTTTAGTTGATTCGCGCGTGAAATGGAGATTGAAATCAAACTTCGACGTAATTTTGCGAATGGTTCGTTTGACGCCTGACTATCGACATCTGATCGCTCTTTTGTTCTTTTCATTTTTTTTTTGCTCAATCGACGGACGTGAATGATGGGAATAAGCGCATACCTGATCGATGAACAAAGCTTCGGCTTGATTCTGCATCTGAAAGCCCAAGTCGAGGAGCTCCTGCACGTCCCGGGTAAATTTGGCATCGGCCTTGGAGGGCAAAGCAAGGGCTTCGCTGTTGATGGCCGAGCTGAAAGCTGTGAGAGCGTCTTCCCAGCAATAGAGGGCCCGCTCCAGTGATTCCAGACCTGCCACATTGCAAACGGTTGGACGATCAGAACACGGTCACATTGCTCTTTCATCTTTATTCCACGCTTTATAACATCCCGGGTGCGATTTGTGTTTCTTCGCCAGAGACAAGGCAGGACAAAAAAGTAAGGTTCTTCGTAGGCTTTTACGACTCCGGCTGGCACAACAAGCGCTAATCTCGTTCATAAGAAGGCACATCGTACAACTGGCTGTTCGCTGTTCTTATTGCTTTGCGACACCACTCTACAGTCTACATCAAGGAATATAAAGTGACGCGTGCTAAAAACCAATTCCAACGATAAAGTACGCCCGAGCTGCCTGCTGGCAAGTGTCAATTTGCGCGCGTGCTAGATATTGAAAAGTCATCCGCTAAGAGAGAGAGAGAGAGAGAGAGAGAGAGCGAAGAGAGTGCTTGAGAAAGCAAACGAATAGTGCATTGCCGAAGAGAAGAGATGGATGTGCCTGCGTATATAAAGTCGGCGGCTTTTATAACATTCTCGCTCCGAATAGCAAGCTCAATCGAAGTATTTATTAAAGCCGCGGCTGCTAAAATAGAACGACCGCTGTGCGAACGTTCGAATGCTACATGTATAATTGGATTCTCTTTCTCGCTTCGATATGGTTTTTTCATGCGCGCAAAAAAACGACGCGTACAACGCGATGTTCCTCCGAAGCCAGGTGGCGGTCGTCGTCGAAAATAAAATAAAACAGCAACGCTGCTCGTGACTCGCTCGTTCCTCGCGAGGAATAAAGAAACGAGCAAACACGAAAAACGAAGCAAAGTCTGCGAAATCTCAAGATTATGCACGCTCTGCGGAGCGTCTCGATCCGTGGCGAACCCCCATAAACGAAAGAAATTCCGAGATAGTGACGCCACTTGCGTCCGCGCGAAGAGTAGCGCGCGCGCTTGTGTGCGTTAATCATCGAGAAGAGCCCCGTACCGTCGCCGCCGCTGTTTTTAATGCCGCGTTCGCCATTTCAAACGGAAGTCTTTTCCTCCGGCGACCGCGAGCGCTGACTCATCTTGATTATCTCGATTTCATCTTTCGTCGTGCGCGCGTGTGTTACGCGCGCACACAGACACGAGGGTCCTCGCGGACACGCGCGCGAGCAGCTGCGGATATCCCTCAATTTGTGCGTAACGGGTATATATATGTCAGGCGTGCTGTACGTGTGTGCATTTCGCACGCGCCGCCGTTCCCGTATGGAGGGCAAAGTTCTCCTTTCTTCTTCTTTTTTTTTCTTCTTTTTTTAATACGATCTTTTTGTCGTTGGTCTTTTGAAGAATGTACAGCGCGTCGTTTCGCAAAAAAAGTTACGTGTCAGCACATCGACAGTCGCCCGGATTTTTTCTATACTTGCACTGTAAAAGAAGGTCGCTTTTCGATCGAAATGATTCTCAAAAGTTTCACAGCACAACTAATACTACATACGTGTTGTACATATCAGCCGTAGGACAAACATTAATGTCAAGGCCAATCCAATCTAAATCCAAACTATTTATGTAGACGCACACGTTCAAGCACTTCACGTGCCGTATTTAATTACACCTGCTTTTCTATACACTTACGAAAAACTGCAGAGCAGGCGCGCGCGCACACCCACACAGAGCAAGGATTAAAGGATTAATTATGCAAAGGCAATGACTTTAGCAAACGTCTGCATTAGCTTCGCAAGCGCTGAACAAAGCTCACGAGCAAACATCGATCCGTTCGCTCTCATTATAAATCATCGCTTGTGTTTAGCTTTGGATGCCGAAAAGCCTTTCACCCTTTTCCCGAGTCCAATGGCAAGCGCAACAAAAGTAACGCGTGCGCTTTTCCCCGGGTATTTCCCACGGACAAGCTTCCCCCAAGCTGCAGCAGCAGCCGTGCGGCGGCGACCTTGCCATTGGAGGCAGGGGGTAGTCAACACGTGGTTTATCGATTTTCATTTGGGCAGCAGCGGCCATGGTGGTCGGGAACGGTCTTGGGAGAAATAGGGGGGGGGGGGCAAGCAGGGAAAGAGAGAGAGAGAGAAAGGACGACAGCAGCAACGCAGGTATTCCGAATTTCGACGTCGGTACGCGCAGCTCTCGTGACGTAATCCTTTTGGAGGTTCGTTATTGGAGGAGAGCCGAGGGGTCGATACGCGCCCGCGCTGCCGACGCTCGTCTCGCGCAGGGCAAGCCTCACGCGTGCACGCACGCGCGCGCACACCTCTGCTCGCGCTCTCGTCCGGCGCCGCGCGGCCGATTGGCGGATTTTCGGCGTATTTCGATTATCTAATGGGGCAAGCGCCTCGCGCCGGTAATTGCGAGCGCCTCTCTCTCTCTCGCTCTGCGCTGCTTCGCTCTCGCCGACGCAACTCGCAAGAACCGGAGCAATCGAGTCCTTTGGGCGGTAGACATTCCGCGCCAGGCAAATTGAGTGCCGGCAAGCCGAAGCGCGGCGCGCAATGCCGTCGATTTCAGCTTTTCGCCTTTCCCAGAGGCAATGGCGCCGCCGCCGCCGCTCGACTGTCTAGCAGGCCTGGCTATGCGCGCCATCGAGTGTTTTCTTTTCGTACGCGCGCGTCCGCGGATAAATATGTATAACGCTACACCACGTTCCCGTTAATGCCGGCAATGAGAAATCGTGCTCGGTCATCATCGTCGATTGAGAGATGCGAGAGATCAGCTGTAATGGACTATCCTCTCTACTTTCGATTTATATACAACTTCTGCCTCCGCGAAACAGTTATACATTCCCTTTTTCCCCATTGGAAATTGAGTCAATGTACAACGAACCAGTGCATATTCGCGCACACGCTTTTAGCCTTTAATTTCCCGTCATTACGCCCGTCAGCGGCGTAATCATGGTTTACAAAGCCTCCGCAATAACAGTGAAATTCAACCGAGCGAAAGCTTTCCCCACCCACCATTTGATATCAGGGGAAAAAAGAAGACTTGTGTTAGTGAAAATGTCACGTTCGAGAGAGAGAGAATAAATTCGCGTTGGGGTGAGGTCGCGGCGGCGATTGACGAGGTATTTGCTCCCGACTCGACGATGCAACGCAAGAAGCGAGCTGCTTATACGAGATGTGACGAGGTGTGATGGTAGGTAACGAACGAGGTCGAATACCAAATGAGACGCTACGGACATTTTCTTTGTAATCTGTTCGTTGAAAGAGATGCGGTATTTGCTGTACCTGTGGCTCGCGGAAATTTATCGGACAAGGGTGTGCCGCGATATTGCTGCGGTAAATCAGCCAGGATGAATAAGCAAAGAGCGTAATGCGTTTAAATTTGGTCTCTCTTTTGCAAACGAATCGACAAAGGTAAACTGTCTGCGGCGCGAGTGTTACCGTCGAACAATGTATCGGCACTTCTGCGGGCAAATTTTATTTCTGCTTCGCGGCTCTTGTGCACAGAGTGCGATAAAACGAGCTGCGGACATTACGCGGTTTTCCAAAGACTGAAATTAAAAATAAATGCCTTCCGAGAGTTGCAAGAAAATTCAGAGCGATACCGCCGGTCGTAGAATAATAATGCGTATTTGCATATACGACCGAAACGAAAAAAATAAACATTCCGTCATTTTTACTCCAATTCAGAGCACCAATTGTCGTTTCTTTCACAATTGGCCTTAACAAAAAAAAAAGCGCGGGGAAATTCAATCCTGCGATAATAAAGCATATCCACGCTTTCCCACTCCTCCTTTCCACAATAGCAGAGTATTTTTTGCAGTTCCACGAGAGAGAGAGAAAGATAATTCGAAACGTACTACATACAGGCAGACATCACGGACTTGCTCTTTCTCTCTGTCTTTCTCCCCATGGTTTGGGTCGCGACGAGGCGCGCGCGCGCGCACACCCCAGCCGGCCGCTGGCTGCGAGAGAGCGTGCGCGCGAGCCGCTGGCAGCAAGCAGTTCCAGTTGGGCAGCGCGACAAGACGGACGCGCGCGTAACAGTTCTCTCCTCGCTCGCTGTGCGTTCGTCCCAGTGTTGCAGTCGCAGCGCCTGTCTCCCAGCTCTACCCCCTGCGCGAGCGCGGGAAACCTGCCAGCCGGGCAACGAATCACGAAGATTCGTTTGTGTCTGCTCTGTGCGTTCAATCCCAGTGATACTACAGTTGTGGGTGGCGCGCTGTCCCTCGACTGCGAGGAGGGACGCGAGAGTAAGTAAAAAAAAAAAGAAAGAAAGAACGAGAGAGAAATACGCCCCTCGCTTCGAGGGGTTGCGCCTTATTTCGACTCTCCCGATTTTTCAGTTCCGAGCGGTGAATTGTGCGACGCGCCATTTCTCATCGCTTTTTCGCGAAGCAACGACTCAGCTCGGGTTACCACCTAAACTGCTGATAAAGAGTTCTCTTTGAAAATCAAGAAGCCACTCGTCGCGTCACTGCGTCGACGGCGTCGAAAAAGCATATCCGAGCAAATACAGCGAAAGGCGCAAACTCGCGAAGCATTCTCCGGTACGAGACAGCTAGCTGGCTCTCCGTAATCCTGCCAGGTGTGCGGAATTGATCGCGCGTGTGTATAAACCGAACTCCGCGGCGACCAGTAGACGCCGGTCGTCGTCCGATGTGCGCGAGCTATCGCCGGCGATTTACGGCTCTCGCTCTCAGCCGCTGCCAAAGTGTGTATACGCACTGGCGCAATGTGCGCGGCTCGCGGGGTTGAACGAGTCGCGGACGCAAATCTCGTCAGTTTTTCTCTCTTTCGCGGTTTCTTTCACGAAACGAAATACGATCGTCGAAAAGACTGCCAGATTCTCCTCTCACTCGATGCTTGTCTAATATTTACGAGCAGGTTCCCGAAAGTCAAGTGGAAGTTATAATTGCTTGCGAGCACGCGTTCGCCTTTACGTGTGCGTGTGTATTGCGTCACGTGCTCTCGAGCGATGATATCATAGTCCCAACGAATATCCTATTTACCTCCTGCCGGTGAGAGATTTTTTTTTCGATAAATGCATGTACATGTAGGTCCGACGTAATTCGTCTTTTCAATCTGCGCCGTAGTCGCACTCGCGAAAAAGGGCATTTCTCTCTCTCTCTCTCGCTCTCTGAAATCACACACAACTTCATTTTATAACGGGCATATGCATGTGTGCGCGCGTGCGTGTGAGTGCACGCACGAGGGAGTTTCACGGCCGAGCAACCAAGCGCTCCAATCGCACACACAATGCGCGCCAACGCTCAGAGAGAGAAGTGAATTTTCGTGGCTCACTCGTCGTCGTCTCCGTCCTCCTACTCCTTCTCCTCCTCTCTTTCGTTCTTTTGCCCTTTTTTTACTGTGTTCTCTGGATTTCTTTTTCTTTTTGCGGTCGCGGACGCGACTCGCTGCGAGAAAAGATATATAAACACGCTCGTCAAGACAATTGCGCAGTGGTACTCCTCTGTGAAAGATTTTTGTGGGCACACCGCGGCTCAACGGCGAAAAGCTTTATTCCTTTACGTCTCGAGCAAAGTAATTCGTCTCTCGAGATAGGTAATATTTTTAATAAGTTTTTCGACGATGAACCACGAATTCTTTTTCCAATCCGAAAGAATGCGCCTGCGATTGAAACGAATACCATTCATCATAATTACATATATCTCGAGCCGTAACAAAAGGAAAAGTTGAAAAGCAGTACATAAACTCCTGGAAAGTTTCAATCGCGAGGACGAGAGTGTAGGGAGAAAAGCGATTCTACGCCGTGAACAGCGAACACGATTTAGTTTTCTTTTTTTCGAGAAAAATGAACTGTTAAAAAAGAAAACGTGGCCGGACAACAGCTGACGAGGGGAACGAAAAGCGAGCGAATTGAAAAACTTGTAGTAGCGGCGCTTAGGGAAAAAAAAGGTCAGCTACCTGCCCTCGGTGGTTCGCTAGTTCCGCTGCTTGCTCATGGTTTCTTCTATGCCCTTTCTCTTTTATTTTTTTTTTTCCTGCTTCGGTGCCCGATGGGATTTTCTTCCTCTTTGATATTTCAATCCTGCAGCGTTGCGGTTTATTTTCAACAGCACCGATTAGGATTAGAAGGAATTCACCGTGTTTATAGCCACACGCCGCCGTATTATCAGTGTTAAAGTCGTTATCGTCCAACTCACACGCGAACCTAATGAATCCGATCTGATTCTTTCTGCATCGACTTTCAGTCGGTATATATGCGTAAATATTCTTAATCACGGAAACTCTCCGTTTGCGCCATACGATGTTATATTTTTATGTACGTGGCACCCGCGTGAGACAGACCTGTTTTATAGTAATTTTTGTTGCTGCTGTTTTCTTTTCTTTTTTACACGAATTCTAGCATCAATATTGAACTTAGACGTTTCGTTCGTATAATCGGGGAAAAGTAATCAGAAAACGTATACACTGAACGTGGAGTGGGTACTTTCAGATGAGAAATTTCGAGTACACCATAAATATTCTTAATAGACCTCTTCACTTTTAATGTCATGTTTCAATTAAACGAACCCCGCGATAAATTCCGCAGTAAACATTAGTCGAGTGGGCATTCGGACAGCGGCGACGAGATTCCAAAAATAAATGAAAAGCAGAAAAAGAGATAACCTTGCATTTTCAATTTTGCAGAGCGCGAAATTTCGAGCGCGCAGTCGCGGGACAAAACTGGTATAGCCGCGAGGCGAATTTGCGTTGATGAAAGCGTGACGCGGCGCGACTCAGGTGACCTTGCTACGACCACTCTTCTAATGCAGCAAAAGGTCTCATCTCTCTCTCTCTCTCTCTTTGTTTGTCTGTCTGTTGCGACATATATCGAGCGGGAAAACTGCGACGCGTCGGCAGACTCATTCTTCACGATAAACGTCGGAAATATCGAAAAGTTCGTCTGCACGGGAAGCTGCGATTGGACGTTTTCTTCCCCCTGCACTATTCGGTGTACTTTATTTGATCGATGGTTTATCTTTGACAAGTTTTGATCGAGCGTTGCGCGCATGAAATTTGAAATTTATTAGCGTCACTAATTGCACAAGTTTTAATGAAAAAAGCGGGATACCTGGGAAGCTACCGTTATACTTGTAAAGCAGCCGATTTGCGCCATGGAAAAAGGCGAGTAAATTTGAAGAAGAGCGCTTCCGTGCGGTCGAATACCGTTTTCCTTCTGCTAGTTTTTAGAGCTAAAGAACTTTATCGATTTCCACTCCATTGCACCCGGAGCCGCTCTACATTTTATTTATTTTTTCCGCGCGACTGCACTTCATTGCCGCGAGCGAGGTAGCAAAGCCAAGCCAAATTTGCAATTTTCCTCCCGAGCTGTCCCTGCCCGCAGCTCAATATCATTTGCAGCGCTCGACCACTGCCGCGTACGATAAAAGGCACTGCTTCAATTCCGGCGCGCACTTGACGTTAATCAAAACACGTATCGCAGCCGAAAGCAGTGCCGTCACAACGACCCGCACACGCGCATTCAAATAAAGGCGAGCACGCGCGTCGGGCAGGTGCGATATCCGCTTTTGCTCTGCAGCTGTGTGCACGCTAGCGCGCGGGTAACGTTTACGGACCGTTATTGCGGGCTCGAAAGAAATCGCGCGCAGAGAGAGAGAGAGAGAGAGAACCGACAAGCGCGTCAAGCGCCACTTTGCTCGGCAGCAGTGGTAAGATCAATTAGCGCGGCTCGATTAAACTCTCTCCCTCGCACGCTCGCGCTTCCGAGAGACCGAGCGCTGTTCATTAAATTCATCCGCGCCTGCGGACGCGGAAATAAAAGCGCGCGCCGCTCTTTAAGGTGTCGACGGCGACGACGACGATTTTATCGACCTCGATGAGCTTGATCAATGTGACATCCTTTGATGCAGCCGGGGGAGGGGGGCACCAGATTTTCGTGCGACCGCTCTCTTTTTCTCACCCTCTTCCGCGTCCTTTTTTTTTTCTCTACGCCTTGTGCGGCACCGAGCACAGTTGCATTTATCATCCGTGCGCTCTCTAACGCGCAATGATTTCTCGCGGTCCCTTTTGCGCGAGCGACTGTACAGTGTAGAGAAGTGCCGACTTTTAAGGACTTTTTATCGCGAGAGCAACGCTTGACGCCATCGACTCTTTTTTTTTTTGTACGCGCTACACAAGGCTTCCGGCATGAATTTCCGGCAAGCAAACACGCACCAACAGTATAAACTTGTCTCTTGGATATACCTAAATAATTATAGGCTTGCCAACGTGGAAGCCAAGTTTATTTGTTATTTTTTTAGTATAGCGTGACCGTGCGCTTGCTAGTAGCCGCTTACAAATCCGACAATCGATTCTCTGCTGCCGCCGTTAAGAAGCTTACAAAATGCAATTCTCTAACCCCCAACAGACAATCGTACAGCCCTGCGTTGGCCTCGTTTCTCCTTCACCCGAAAAAAGACAAATTTATATGCAAAGCGAGGCCGTTCCGATTTCAATTTCAGTTACACAGGGGCAACCAGATATCGCGTTCATAGCCACGCCTTTAAGCGAATGATGGACCTTCCAGTCGCGCAGAAATTCAGTTGAAAGCCGAGCGAGAGAGAGAGAGAGAGAGAGAGAGAGAGAGAGAGAGAGAGAGAGAGATAACAGTGTAATAAAAGCCACGTACAACTAGGCAGAGGGGCATAAATCATCGCGAGTGATTTTCAAAATAATCATCTGGTCGTTGCCGAGAATCGCCATAAAAAAATGCCTCTCCTCGTCGGCGGACAACCTTGTGAGAACAGGGCAAATCGCTTGCAGGGATTTAAACGAGAGAGAAGCCTTACGCCCACGCGCTTCACAGACTCTTTGTCTTTCCTCTCCCTGCTCTACAAGCGCTCGCCTCGCTGCTGCGCTCCATTGACACTGGTGCTCCGCGCCAGAGCAACGAGATTGGCTTGATTTTTACAGAACGACATTAAACCAAGGGGAAAAAGACGGGGGAAGGGTATCGAGTGTTCCTCGCATCAGCAGCCCGGCGCGATTCGTTTTCTCTCGGTCCATTTGCGCAATGTCTTTGTCAGACGAGAAAGAGGATCCGCGCGCCTTTTGAACATACGTTTAGCGATAGTTGGAAACAGTGCAGGGCGATCGGTTCGGCTTCATCTGCGCTGCTGCGCCCGGCCTCCAAAACAATTTTTCACGAGAAAAGCTGCTTCGCGTCGTAGATCGGACAACTTGATTAGCTCGAACGAAAGTCGCTTTGACATCCGAATCCGTCGTTTTACTTGCGAGGAAGGAGTCA